TTGGTTAAGTCAAAATGGTTGGCCTGAGTCATTAATTCAACTGAAAATGTTAAAAGTTCACACATAAAATCCACATAATACAACGTTTGCATTTAAAAATCACCTAAGTTAACAGTCTCAAAAGGTGAAGCCAATCGTGATTGGGATTTTAAAGATGATTGCCTTTTGCTTGACACCATATGAGCTTTGGATTTTGATGAGGATCCATATTTTGGTAGAGGAAAAGATGATTTTGATGGCACTGGTGATCCACATGTCAACCTTGTATGACCACTTTCCTTGCACCGACTACATGTCGATCTCTTCTTCTCTTCACCCTTAGACGGTATACGATCGTGACTTTTTGGTCGGCCAGGTAGCCTTCTGTCCATGGCTGGTGGCAAAACTGTTTGTAAGTCATCTGGTATGTCCCACTCAGAAGGATGTGGAATAGGGTAGACAATCTCGGCATAAGTCTGTCGATAAACTTCTGTAGTGTAGCAATCCATAGCGTATGCGCTTGAATCATCTTGGTTTAAATGAAGAGAAACTTTTATAACATGGCCACACGGATAACCAGATGTTTGCCATTTCATACAACTACACGTCTTTGCATTTAGATCGACTAGCCCATTTAAGTTATTATCCAGTACTTGAAACAAAGTGTTTGAACATGGTTCAACTCTCCATGACGTTGACTTCACAACACGTTTCGTTATCTTTTTTTCAGTCCATGGTGTAACACGATGTTCCAATGTTCCTGTAAATTTAAATAAACAATACTTAGTAAAATATATAAATATGATAAGTTACGAATTCAAAGAAATAATACCTGCATGGTTTCTTTTCTTGTAGTACCACTGTTGAATAGAGGCTCGAAAAAACTCCATTAACATAGTAATGGGTAATTTCCGGGAATGACGACTTAGAGCGTTGATTGATTCTGCACTATTAGACGTCATGAAACCATATCTTGCTCCAAGTTGATGTACTCTTGACCATCTTTCAAACCCGACATCTTCTAGTGTTTGAGCACACTGAGGCAAAACACGTCTTAAACAATTTATATGCTTATTGAAATCCACTTCCCGATAAGCTTTTACAGCCTTCCAGTATGTCCATTTGTGCTTTTTTATACCAGCAGACCTTGATTTTAGATTTCTATACAAATGAACACCACAAAGTCCATGAAAAGCATCTGGGAAACACCTTCTAACAGCGTTGTCAATTGAGTTTGCCCTATCGGATATGATTGTCAGATTGCTAATAGGACCTATGCAATCCCTAAGATGCCCCATAAACCATGTCCATGAATCAGAGGTTTCAGATTTGCCAACCCCGTAAGCTATTGGCAATATCCCATTGTTAGCATCCATGGCTACTGCTAATAAGTTTACTCCAAGGTATCGACCTTTCAAATGTGCTCCGTCAACTATAATAACTGGGCGCATGCAAGTAATAAACGAACGAATCTACAAAATAATATACACAAGAAATATAATCATTTAAATGTGAAATGCATGTAACTAACAAAAATGAGTCAACAAAATTATATTGATTTACTAACCGTAGCACCAATGGCGATAAACAGCAACTCAAAGCGTCCATCTCTATCTGTTTTGATATGAGTTACCGACCCAGGATTTTTCAGCTTTAAATTGTGACAATAAGCCGGCAGTTGGGCAAACGATGCTTCTGGCGACCCCCTCAACAATTCCAAGGCATAACATTTGGCTCTCCAAGCTTGAGAATATGATATACTAATCTTGAACCGAGCATTCATGTCAGTCATAATTTCATGTCCCCGATATACCCTGCCATTCAAAAACATTAACTCAGCCAGAAAACCACCCAACACCTTTTTGTTTGCCTGTCTATGGTGAGGAAAAACTTGGGTTCTTGAACATGTATGTTTATCAATAAAAGTCCTAACTTGAAACATTTTGCAATCTTTTATTCTCTTTGCAATCATACGCCACGTACAGTTTTTGTCAATCATACACCTTGTTTCGAAACGATCTTTGCTTGATTTGTTAACTTTTAGTTGATAGCCATCTTCCACACATTTTGTATACAAAGCTATCTTCAAGTCTTCCTTTGTATCAAAACAATCATCTTTCTTGACACGAATAACTTTTGTGTAACAATCAACTGCTTTCTTTGCCAACTCTTCTTCCGGTAACTGAAGTAATTCTGGCATATTCCAGTTATACTCCCGTGGCATTTTCTTTTCTTCGGGGACTTTTTCTTCTTCTTTTTCTTCTTCAGGATTATATGAATTACAGAATGGATGTTCAACATGTTCATTCACAGTCGTAACTTCCTCCTCATTATCATCAACAACATCTTCCTCGGCAACGGGTGTTTCATCATCAAAATTCGGGTATTGACCAATATTAAAATCATTACACACATGGTCTGTTTCTTCTTCTGAAACATCATCAAAATCCGTGTATTGACCAATATCAAAGTCCGGATATTGACCAAGACCAAATTTCGAATACTGACTAGTACTCACAATTTTTTCTGTTGGCTCATCATCGTCTAACTGGTCAATACGAAAACCGGAATTTGGTGCTGAAAGTTGATTGGGATTTGGATTAGAGAAAGGTTGTGGGTTTTGAGAAAAACTTAGTTGATTACTACCCGCTACTGACCCAACAATACTACTTCTAGGTTCAACAACATACAATGTAACATCATCTTGTGAAACACTAATGTAAGCAATGAATCGTTCAACATCTTCATTGTCGGTTAACAAATAAACTTTACCATTTCTCTGATAAGATAGCCTAAATCCACTTAGGGGCTCTAAATTCAATTTATTTGAAACACGTAGCATTAGAGTTTCATAAGTTAACTTTTGTAAAGACAATTTTAGTTGAAGATTCATGGGTAAAGGCATATATTGTAAAACACCATGAACATTATCCCATGACCCTCCAAAACACAAATCTATCCAAACATGATCAGATGATTTCATGGTTGTAAATTAATTTACTAAACAGACGAGCTGCGAAACTAAAACCTGTTGCCGGATTGGGAAGGATGTCGTTGGATATAGGAACGGATGTCGCCGGAGAGAGTGATAGATGGAGATGGAATGAGTTGCGATTTAGGGATTTAGTTTATGATTTCAGTGTTATATACCCAAAATTTCAGTGTTGTGATTTACAGATTCTCGTTGCGATTTACGGATTATCGTTGCGATTTACAGATTCTCGTTGCGATTTACGGATTATCGTTGCGATTTACGGATACGCGTTGCGATTTACGGATTATCGTTGCGATTTACGGATACGCGTTGCGATTTACGGATACGCATTGCGATTTACGGATACGCGTTGCGATTTACGGATACACGTTGCGATTTACGGATACGCGTTGCGATATACGGATACGCATTGCGATTTACCCATACGCGTTGCGATTTACGGATACACGTTGCGATTTACGGATACGCGTTGCGATTTATGTGTTCGCGTTGCGATTTTCATATTCGCGTTGCGATTATTGAAAATCGCAATGCGAATTTGTACTATCGCATCGCGATTTTCAAGAATCGCGTTGCGATTTTGGAAACTGATTTGCGATTCTGGGGATCGCGTTGCGATTTTTATTTCGCGTTGCGATTTTGTTGGTCATTTTGGCAAATCCAAAAAAAGTTGGTTAAAATCGTATATTATAACTTTTTTTTGGTCACTGAGGCGATTTTCTCAAAAAATTAATAGAATTGTTGATGTGATTTTTTTTAATGAAGACATGATATTATTTTATAGTGACACGTTAGTATCATCGTTAATTTTTTAATAACAGGTGACCAAAATAAAACCAAAACATAATATTATATATAATTTTAAAAAAAATAGTTTAATAATCAAAACGAAATCGTATAAATGGTTAGATGACACTTTTATTTATGTCTAATTTTTTAATAATACTCAATAATCTATAATTGACATATTTTTAAACAGTACTTTTTTTTACGTAACAATCAATTTTTTATTTATTGATGTTAATTTAATATTATAAAGATATATTATAAAAAAATATCTTTACAAATTCATTGTACTATATTCACGATATTCTTATTAAAATCTATAGATATCTTTAAAAAATTAATATTTTATTTTAAAAAAATTAAGTGGATAACTAATGAATATTTTTTAAACATTTAAAATTTTATTTTATTAGAACATCTTAATTGAATCGATATAACGAATCAAATGAGACATAAGTTGAATTGACTATTTAAGGTGAAGAAAAAAGAAGAATCGCTTTCACATTTATTATTTAACCTAACGTTAAATTAATCACTTGATTTAATTTTTGGTGTTCTTTTTCGTAATTATTTGAATTTAAATTTTTAAATTTTTATAATAATATATATTTTATTTTTCTTGTTTTTTCTAAATTCATTTTTGCTAAATTTTTTGACCTTAAAAATAAATTTTTAGGTATGTCTCTGTTTGTGATAAGTTTAAAAATATGACCATTGTTTTTAGTTACGTTCTAGTTGGGCAAGAGGAGTAGATAAAAAGTTAGTTGCATCACATGTCCTCAAACTATGATTCTCATCTCAAATTGATCCTTACATTTTTAAATATTTTAATTTCATCTGTAAACTATGACTCTCATTCTAAATTAGCCCTTAAAACTTTGAACATTCTATTTTCGTCTCTAAACTATGAGTATCATTCTAAATTGGTCCTCAGACTTTTGAATCTTCCAATTTCATCCCCAAATTCATCCAAATATGTAATTAGTTTCAACTATAGTTTAGCCTAAATTTTATTTTTTCAAACATATAACAATATAATTTGGCCTAACGATTTTATTAACAAGGGATGTGATTAGTATTTACATATAATTTGGGATGAAATTGAAATGTTAAAAAAGCTTGGGGACCAATTTAGAATGAAGATCATAGTTTGGGGATGAAAATGAAATGTTTAAAAGTTTAGGGGCCAATTTAGAATGAGAGTCATAATTGAAGGAATGTGATGCAATTAACTCGTAGATAAATTAAAATGTAAATTACTGGTTTTTATTAATGAAATTCCCTTGCGCTTACACATAAAAAACCTGTCCTACGTTCAACAGACTCTCATGAGGAACATTAAAGATCACGCTATGCGCCCTACATATCTTCCTAAGAAACGCATATATATAGTCGATTGCTATTTTATTGTAAAATCTTGAATCCCTTCTTGCTCTCACCACTGTGTTTCCCATAATGTGTACCACCCCAGCATCCCTACAGCTATTCAAAAACTCTAACTCGTCGGTCTCGGTCTGGCTGCTTACTTGCCCCGAAGATCTTACCGTCGCACTTGTATGCATCGGAGATCTCACCGGCACAATTGAATCCACCGATGAAATTGTGGTATCAACATAGGAGCAAGTTGTGTTGCCATTGTTGTTCAACAGTCCGTCCCTGGACCGCTCGGTTTGCTGGCCATATAAGCTGTATTCATCCGAATCTGAAAAACCTTCCATCATTGACTCGAGCCGCACAAATAAGAAGAGGCTATCAAATAGCTTTTTCTCAAAATCATCATCTTTCTTATGAAGGTCTTTGTAGCCATACCTAGCCACGCAACGAAACATATGGAAATTCTTTGGTCCAATCCGTTTCACAAGGAACCTTTCTTCTTCCGGAACAGTGTAGACCGGAAGGTATTTCACACAGACGAAAACAACCGCAGAATGGATCGCAGGTAGGTTAGTGATGAAATGGGAAAATATGTGAGGCACACCACTTGCTAGCTCAGTGTAGACTAATCCAATTCCGGGAACTCGAACTAATCCTAAACTAGGGCCAAGTCCAAGAATCCATGCCATCGAAACCTTACTATGCATCTCAAACTCATATCGCTTCAGCGTACCGTAATGCCAAACATACATGATGAGCAAAAATGCTGCTGCAATAACAAGAGGAACCCACCCACCTTGATCAACCTTGAAGAGTACAGCAGAAAAGTATATGCACTCTACAACCAACGACAAGCCGGTGAAGAGGAGGACAAGAATCCAGTGACATCGCCAAACCAAAATCATGATTAAAGTCATAAGCAACGTTGTTACCAACATGACAATCACCACAGCTGTCCCTGCATTAACATGAATTATGATACAATTAAGTGTAATTCTTAGGTACATGTATCGATCGAAATGATACCATTGATAAAAGTAAGAAGGGATAATAACTTACCATAAGCATTTCCGATTTGGCTTTGGTTCTTGAATCCAGCAGTAACAGCAATGCAAAGAATCATAAGAATCCAATTAATATCCGGAACATATATCTGACCAAGGAACTTCTTTGATGTATGTACAACCTTCACTCGTGGGAAACAACCAAGTGCAAGGGATTGTTTGATAATCGAAAAGGTTGCTGTTATGGTAGCCTGACTTGCAACAATAGCAGCAGCAGTAGCAATAACAAAAACAGGCCAATATATGCTATCTGCATTATAAACAAGTAATTAGAATCTGCAAATAAATTCTTACCACGTTAATGGGACAACAAAGTACCGTTCCAGACAGGATTATAATGACCATAAAATAGGTATTATAAGAACAAACCTGGGATAGAGCGATAAAATGCATCGACCACATGGTCCCTGTTACTCATAAGGTAGGCAGCTTGTCCGGAATATGCTAGGAGAAGGCAAGGAAATACTACTGCAGTAAATGCAAGTTGCACAGCTGAAACTGGAAAATGGGATAGATCAGCAAAAAGTGCCTCGGTACCTGTTACGATTCATTAGTCGTCAAAATCATTTCATCAGCTTCAGTGCAAGTTTATGAACTTAGAATTGATAATTTATGGGAAATATTTGGGATATAAACGTACGACAGTAAGTTTACCTGTGATACTAAGCATAATACCCCCAAGAGAGGTCCATCTATCTTTCCCTCCTCTCTTAAAATACCGGTAGATGTATATAGGTGAAAATGCTTTTAAAACACTGCTGTCATACTTCCAAATATTAAATATGCCGATGCCCCCGATTACAAGAAACCAAATAAGCACAATTGGGGCAAAGAGCCAGCTAACTTTATCTGTACCATAGTGTTGCATGCTAAATAAACCTACTAATATTACAACAGCCACAACCACAACAACACCTGCATAATGGAAAAAGAAAATAAGTTCTGGCCTAAGAAACAGGCGGCTAAATATTGTCAAATGTGTTCAAACAAAGGGTGCAAAGAAAGAATAAAGTTTAAGGAAGAGAAAGGAGGTACCGTTGCTCATCTGTGGATGGTTCACTTTGATGCCCCCTGCGGCTGAAAGAACTGCCAAAGAGAGCAGGCAAAGAAGTGTGCTGACATTAGCATATCAACAATATATTTACACAATTTCCATGGAGTAAAATGGGTTAAGAAATAATACTGATAAAAACAATAGTAATAAATGATAAAAGCACGTAGTTTATGACATCTGGAATATATCCTAAAATCTTAGCTTTAGCAGGTGTGGTAGCATCACTGAGTAAGTCTTCCACGTGTTGGCATTTAGCGATGAGTATAGAAGCAAATGTTTCCAAATTGGATGGTAAAAAGGGCATTTTTCAAGAATCATGAAGGGGAACAGAAAATATGAGTTCAGGTGTTTGCCCAATTTCAATGTTCTGTATGAACAACTACCATTTAGTAATTTGCATTTAAGAATAAGTCTTTACTAGAATATGAGCTATCCTTGGATTTTAAAAAATCATGTTCAATGAGAACAGCAGGCAAGACAATGCATGCCATTTTCTTCTCTCTTTTTCCTGGATCATATAATCCATTTCACTTCCATTCTACCAGATGTTTATATGTATATTCCCCAAAGGCAAACCTATCCTGTGAATCGTTTTTTCTAATATCGAACATAATGGAGACTTCGACAGACTGTAATTTTGAAATATATTTCTTCCATATATTCTCCAAGTGGTTCCTCTAATAATTAGAAATTCAAGCGGATAAGAAAATTTTTCGCTAATGGGTTTGATAGGAAAAGCGTAACTTAGGTTTCAGAGTATAGTACGACTTCCATGCTACCAATTAAGAACAATTTGACAAGTAAAAAAAATATTGTGATAAAAATTCAATTAACTTTCTAATAAAATCAGGGTCAATGCGTGTAGATACCTTTTTCTTTTATTTGTTTCAAAATTCAAAGACACTTGCCTAACAGAAAAGGGCCAACACGAAAGGTAAGGCATCTTGACCCTTTTCTCGGGTCACTGGAAGTCAAGCATGCGGAGTGTAAGAAAAATACCTGATATTGCAGGAGTCAATATTCCATCACCGATGACCATACATGTACCAACCAGGACAAGAATAAGAAGCGCATTCTTCCTAAACACATGTCTCTCTAGCCATCTCTTTGTTTTAGCAGCAAATGATTGTTCATGAAATGTAGAACGACTATAAGTTGTTAGCTCCTCATCAGTCCTGTGTTGATTAGGAATAGTTTTTATGTTTGCATGTCTGCAGAGCAATGAATATAGAGCAAATGTTCCACCTGCAGACAAAAAAGACATGCGGTTCTAATGGTAGTGTCTCATGAGCATCGGAAAGAGAAAGATTCGTTATCAACAATTAAAAGATAAGTAGGTGAAATTACTGTTAGTATTATTGAAGTGGACTAGGTTAATGAAAGAAACAATTATTCAAGTCTATGATTCTGCATGCTGTGATGCATTGAGAAGCATTTTATTTGTCAAAATCATGTCTCGGATTAAATTACATTATGCATATCCTCATTCACTGATATAAGCTCACCTTGACCGTTGTCATTTGCTTTACACACAACAAACACATACTTCAGGAGCGGTATAAGTGTAAGGGAGTATATAATCAATGAAAGAGCTCCAATAACATCCTCTGGGTCTTCAATTTTACCAGGAAATGTATTGTAGAAAACATAAAGGGGAGAAGTGCCCAAGTCACCATAAACCACTCCGAGACTTTGGAACGCAAGCCGCAGAAGCAATAATGCGGAGGATTTCTGTCGGGAATTGAAACCATATCAGAAACTACAACTGATCCAAATAACAAAAGGACTGCAATATCATCAAAACCCATTTATTCAAAGCAAATTGAGTTTTATACATGCTACTTGCATTTATCTCATATGAGACAATCACTTAAAATGCATAGAAGACTGAAAATGAATTACAATTTTATGCAAAGTAAAGGCTTTAAATCCTTCCTCTAATAATGTAGATTAACATGAACCGAGACCGAGAGCTACTTTATTTCAATTAACCTCAAAAGAAACCTTGTACCTAGAAAACAAAGACATAAACAGAGAGGAACCAAAACAATTGAAAACATACCTTCTCCTTGTACATGTTTCTGAGCCTCCCAGCCTCTTCATCCATTGGCTGATCAAGCTTCCGCTCCAAATCCCACATGCTTCCCTTGTTGTCATTATCTTCATCAATCTCAACTCTTGAAGCCATTTCCATACTGAATCAATATTATACTCAAGCTATCAGTAAGTACCCCACACAACTCGATTTCGAATTCCCAAACTGTTCAAATTTTATTTTGCAGGAAATGAACCCAGTTGGTCAAATCTATCTTCACTTGAAGTCCATGCAAAATCTGATTGTGAATTAGACGCCGCCAGCAAAATCCTGCAAATGAATTGAAACCAGAAGCAATAACAACGCCAAAATTCAATATCTAACCAAGATTGTAAATTGGAATTCAGAATTCGAGAGGATCTCGGAAAAACTGAAAAGGAACCAAAACTTAAAATCACAGATGAAGAGCCTGAACTTTTAACAAACACTAAGGAAGCTAAAATGGACCAAAAATTAAATCTTTGAAACAACAATTTGTTGCCAACTTGCCATATACACCAAAAAAATGAAGAAACACCAGGTAAAAGTGAATCCAATAACCAAATGAAGAACAGACCGGCACCAAGGATGGCTCAAATGAGGAACATAAATGAATGACTTAAAGGACAGACAAAGATTTCTTTTTTCATTCATAACTGCAAAAGGAAGAGTCCCAAAGGTGGGGTCAACCCAAATATCGACCACACAGGATCATCTACCACCAAGTACAAAACAAACTCAAAGTAAAAAAAATTCTTTAACATACGTACCACTTTGAACAAAAATCAAAGTAAAACCGAGCGTGAGACGATCAAAAACAAGAACCCCAGGTCGTCTTTCTCGTAAACAACTAAAACTTGTAACACAGATAGAAGAGATACCGTTTTGTTTTTGCAGGTTCTCAGTAAACTTTTCTTTCGACAGTGACACTTAAAACTCTCGGCCAGCTTTTTTAGTTTGAGAAAAATACTGCGCTGAGGCACGGAAGAAAGTAGCGGTATTTGGTTTTTGTTCTTATGTGTTTCTTAGGGAAAACTACGTAGTTAATTAATCAACTATTCTCCCGATTTCAATTTTGTTCATCCAATTTTTTTATTTTCAAAATCATCATTAAATTTACGTATTTTTTTATTTTAATCACTTACCATTGAAAAGTATACAGAACCTTTGACGTAATTTTTCAAAAAAAAAATTGTAATTTAAAAATAGAAGAGACCGGACTATTGCCGGGTGGGATTAGCCGATTTGCAAATTACACTATATCAATTGTGAAGTCTGAACAAGTTCCTGGAAATATTTACCAATGGGAGCTTTCGATTCATATTTATGGTTCGAAAACAATGATGTGGGCGACCTCCCTGACTGAAGTTCTGACAGTACAATTACAACAACTTCTCGAAGTTTGCAAATCGTCTAATCGGGAAGTTAAGTACCCCATATTAATATAAGACTAAAATAAAATGATATAGATTTGGTTATTATTTAAATAATAAAATTGATAAAAAATTATTAATAATATTATTATTTTTATTTAAAATATTATTTTTTTAATATTTTCGGTTATTTTTTAGTGTCTAATAATGTTTTCGATTATTTTTTCGAAAATCCAATTAAAACGCCTAATAATAATAAAATTGGTCATTTTTAAGCCTAATAATGTTTTCGGTTATTTTTTATCGGTTTTTTTTATTTAAACAATAACAAAACCGGTGACGCCTTTTATTAACCGAATATTAAAGCTGTCGCATGTAAGCATTTCCCTGTCTAATCACATCCAGCAATCCTCTCGCCTCTTTTATTTTTTAAGTTATAAATTCTTTTTTAAGGATAAATTAGATATAAAATTATTATTTAAGTACTTATTTGATGTTTTAACTATAATTTAAGAGTAAAACCAAATATTAATATTTTTACGAATGTTTTATCTTAATGTATATAATGGTGGAGTGATTATTTTGTTATAAATCGATAATATTAGTAACTAATATGTTATTTTTAAAACTTCAGTGGAAAAAATAAAAATTTACTCAAACATCAATGACTAGTTGAATAGTTTACCCTTAAAATATTTATACGGTGATTATCCATTTGTTTATTAATGATATGACTGCGGGGCTGTATAAGGGGAAGGTAGTGTAACACAAATTATATAATCTAATGAAGATAACATTTGCTTTTTTAAGTGGATAATGATGACATCTTTTTTTAGTTTCCAAGTGGAGAATTATAACACAGACGCGAAATTAATTAGGTGACAAATTAAGTTTGACATTAGTAAAAATAGTTCTTAAAAAATGTAAATAAAAGGATATTGTTTGTATAATTATTTTTTTAATAATATAAATATTTTTAAATAATGACAATTCGATTCCATTAATAAAAATAATAGAATGATTCAGAACTACAACACATTCAAATATATAGATAAAAATGAGGACAACATTCACACAAAAAAAAAGCATACAAAAAACATAAATATTAAATCCAAAGAAACAAATAAAAATGAGACATTTATAAAACTCATTATCTCTGTTGAATGATACGTTTTACGAAATGATAAAAGAGTGGTGAGTGAACTAAAGTATCCGACAGGCTGTTTCGCTTTTCGATTTTGATTATATCAATGAACCACCTTTTGTCAAAAAAAAATATTTGACTTTACGAGATTACTGATAAATTTATTACAACGTTCAACTTGGTAACTTAATCGATCATCATCATCGGTCTATAAAATGCTTGTATGTTTTAAACAGTTTATACCTTGATGTTATGTTGATGATAAATAAAGTTTTTAAAACATATAGTGAGGGCTTTCGAATAATTAGGAAAACAATCACATATTCGAACATATATTTTTTACCAGATTCTCAGAGGGAAGGAGGTTTCACTAGCTTCTATTTGTAGTTTTGTACAACGTGCAATGATACACATCCTAGAAAAGCTTGATAATGATCATGCAAATGAATAATTACAGGTTTTACAATTTAAATTCCAGAAGCATTCTCTTACTCCTACCTTAGATACAGAGAAACCAAGAACTGGGAGAAGAGTATGAATTCACCGACAACGGTAGCCGGAGAGTGTATTCCAAGAAACGGGACAATATCTACCTGCAACCAGTTTTCAACAGCTGATCCCACCACTGCACCAGCAACAAGCCCCCCTATAGTAATCAATGTAGCCTTACCTGCAAAGATAGGGAGGAAAGCATAAGTTTAAATAAATGAAATTTGTACAATTATGCAGTCTAATCTATTGGCATGCTTTGGCAGAAAGGAGCATAAAATCCCCAATGGCATGCCGACTTCCTTTGGCTTTTAAGGACTTCAATAGCAAAACCAAAGTTCGAGTCGAGGAAAGCCGAAAAAGTTAGCTCAAAGATAGAAATGAACTAAAAATTATGATAAATCACATGACGGGGACACAAAGAAGAGTCAGAAATACAGAATGATTATAAAGGCACTACAAATCTTCTATAGCAAGCATTATAATCCATATGCACGAAAGCTCATTACCTAACTTCACATTCTTTCGGGTCATAAAATATAAGGAAGCACCAAAGCTGCTTGCTAAGATGAGCACGGGAACGTCAGGTCCGGCGTAAGGAATAACCGAGGACGTAGAAGCTCCATTCACATAAGTTAGAACCATAAGAGCTCCATACACACCGACTTGTATGCCCAATTCACTAGAAACTGGAGTTTCAACTGAAACTGGTAAATTCTTAACAGTTGTTTGCACCCACCGAGGCATCGATCCCACCCCGGGAGGATTAACAGGTTTAACATCTGCATATCGAATGCTTCTGTCCACAACTTTCCCGGCTCGTCGTTGGGTTAAGCTCCGCATGAGCAGCATATCATATGCAGCCTCAACCTAAAACATAAACAACAAAAACTATAGACAACCATACAGGAGCCAATACTGGAAACATGCAGTTCATATTTTCAGGAGGAAAAAAGGAACAATCAACCCAATACTGGAAACATGCAGTTCATATTTTCAGGAGGAAAAAAGGAACAATCAACCGGTGGTTCTTGTCTATAGGATCTTCTTGGTTAAGTGAACAAAGCTATAGATGAATCACCATAAGCATCATAATTTCACTTCATGGAAACAATATAACAAGCATCTGTCTAATCTAGAAAATGAGAAATGTTCATCAAACACTATCCTAGTACATAGAACACTAACAAAAGGCAAATTACATGCTTTAAAGAACATTTTTTTTTCTTTTTGGATGGGGAACTGTAAAGAACAACAATTATTCTAAATTGATGCAATAAAATCACAGGTGATCAACACAAAGGAAAAAAAATCAAATCCCAATTTTGAGAACAGAAATAAATGTAGGAATTTGCAAATATGCATTGAGAAGATTGGAAATGCTAACGAGTAGGAAAATGAACAAATATACACAAAAAGTTTAATATTTGATCACCCAAATTTTTTTAGCGTTAGAAATTTCTCAAATTGAAGAGAGAGAGGCAGTGAATTAACCTGAGCAATAGCTCCTTGGTCATCCTTAATAGAGGCAACAATCGAGTTCTTGGCGAGAAGAATATCATCAAAAGAAGCACTTTCGGAGACTCCAAGGAGCTTGAGCGCGTTCTCAACTGACATCTCGAATGGAGCTGAGTCATCAGCTTGTGAACCAGCTCGAGCGGCTAATATTCGCCGGGCGTGGAGGATTTGCGCGGCTCTCCAGGGCTCGGTCTTCGTGGGTTTACAAGAAGGGTGTGTTTGGTTGACCGTCGGTCTAGGAATAGGGCTTACCGGAGTGAGACGGTTTGACCGGACGGAGAGTGTGGTTGCAGCCATTTTTGGAACAAAGAATGAGAAAAAAATACCTCTATTTTTGGGGACAACCGAGAATGTAAGGTGAATTTAATCAGACATGAAAGAAAAAAAAAAAGCTTAATCTTTTTCTTTTGATTAGGGCCGTTCGATTGTCTGACCATATGATTCTTGTAAATTTTGTTCTTAAAAAAATTAAAATTTGAGGAAATTACGGCCAAAAACTGTCTTTTTAACAGTTCACAGTTCCTAGTGGCATGGCATAGCTTAAGGCAAGAGGATATGTTAAGATCAAAGCAAAAAAAAAATCACTAAAAATTTGTGGCCATGAGAGTGAACACCATGTGTACACGTCTCTATTTTCTGGACAATCCCTTAATTAAACAAAAGAGAGAAGGAAAAGTCATTGGGAGCAGTTGAAAGGCGCTACGTTGAAGAACAAACGTCGACAAAACCATGTTGGCTATGAGTAAATGGTTCACGCTGACACCTTTTATGTCAAGCAGATACAATAAGAGAGTTGGGTTTTTCGGTAGAGCTGATTCTATTCGAGTCCATGCCGATGGAGGAGGAGACAACAACAACAGTAAAAGCAACGACGAGAGGAAGAAAGTTGTTGTGGTTGGCTCGGGGTGGGCTGGTCTCGGTGCTGCTCACCACCTATGCAATCAGGTTCTTGCTATATTGTTTTTAGGGGGAAGAATGTTGCCTTTCCTTGATTAACTTTCAGTTTTGTGATTTTTTTTGTTTTGTTTCAGGGATTTGAAGTTACAGTTCTTGATGGAGGTGATGGTATTGGCAGTCCAGATAATATCGGCATCCAAGGTTAATCATTCTAACACCGATTTTGATGCTCTTTTGCCATTGATGAATCATACAGATGCAGTGTAAGCAAATAACAAAAATCCAAATTCATTTGCCACGGAAGGCATGGTTTTCCCATTGATAAGAATTGACGATGAGCTTATATTACTATGAACTTTGTTTCATATGAATCCCATTTTCTAGAACTATAGGATAAGTAAGCTGTAGTGCAGGACTGCAATGTTACACACATAAACCAACATCTTTGTCCTTGATGTTAGACTTAGAGGACATAACAGGTCACGGAATATTTTGATTAATTTCCTTAAATTTAGTTTTACAATGTTGTGCAGTAATATAATTTATGTTGCTTCAATAACAGTTTGTTTATTAGATTCTCTCATTGAAGATTGAGGACTGATCTCCATTTCTTTTTTATGGAGTAGGGTTTTGGTATCCCTATAAAAATATATTTAGTCTTGTTGATGAGTTGGGTATAAAGCCCTTTACTAGCTGGACAAGATCTGCACAGTATTCAGCAGAAGGATTGGAGGTATTTACCAGGAACTCTTCTGGTTGAATATCATTAATTGCTTGTGATTTTGCTAAACAGATTCAGGATAACCGTGCAGGTCGAATTTCCAGTATACCAGGAACTCCCACAATTGCCAACTCCATTAGGAACCTTATACCACACACAAGTATTTCTTAATTCCATCTTCATGTTTTCTTTGTTAGACTGTAAAGTCTCTTTATTAGCATTTGAAGATTGTACCATATTTGCAGTTCGTCAGGCTCCCGTTTGTGGATAGATTATCATCGCTTCCTCTGATGACTGCAGGCAAGTAGTAATGATTCATTTTCTCTCCAATGAGAGGCGATTATCATAACTTGATGCTTCAAATGATTATTCTATGGCAATCTTTCTTTGCTTTCTATTTATTTCAGTCATCGGCTGACTGCTCCTTCTGTCTCCAGTAATCGACTTCGACAACACCGATGTTGCCTGGAAAAAGTATGATTCAAGTAAGGATTCCCTTTCAGTAGTAGATTCCAGCATTGAGGTGAACTTTTCAAGTTCCTTATTCAGAGCTTTAACTGGTAGATACTGCAAGGGAGCTCTTTAAACAGTTTGGATGCTCTGAGAGGCTCTATCAGGATATTTTCAGTCCATTACTTCAAGTGGGTTTGTTTGCTCCAGCAGAGCAATGTAGTGCTGCAGCAACTCTTGGACTGCTATATTATTTAGTTCTTGCCCACCAGGTTTGATTGTTGAAATCTGCTAGATATTCACTATTCTTCTCACATATAGTTAATATGATACCCGATCTTTGATCTGTTCGTGCCTCGAACTGACTCGGTGTAGTTTTATTTATGGATGGTTATAGAAGCACTTCGATGTAGTATTTTGCCGTGGTTCCACAACGGAGAAGATCTTCGAGCCGTGGGTGGAGTCTCTGAAGGCTAAAGGTTGTGAAATACTGGAGGGTAAAAGGGTGACAGATTTCAAAGTCAATGAGGAAACAGGTTGCATAACGGAAGTAGTTTCTGGCAAAGAGACCTACACTGCTGATGCAGCTATATTGACTGTTGGGATCGCCACACTTCAAGAAACTATCAAGAACAGGTTTTCCGTTCTGGACTTTTCTTACATCGGATGCATTTTCATGCAATATATGAAAAATAGTTTTAGTATGTTGATATGTTGATAGAAAGCTTGAAGTTCAAAGGTTTGAGTAGATGGTCATCCATGCTTTATGTTTTCTCCACATCTTTAGTATAGTTTTAGTGCTTCAGTTGATCCCTCTTTTCAGCTATCCTGTTTAACTGGCAGTTGAGCCCTGTTTAGTGCAGCATTATGTAAACAGGAAGAGTTTCGGAAAATTTTGAACTTGGCCGGCATCGATTTGGTTACCGTCAAGTTACGGCTGGATAGGAAGGTCCGTGCACAGAACTTCCCTTGGTTTAGAACTGAATATCATGACAGCAATCTTGTGCATTTCTTTAGTGGATTTCCTTGTTTTGATCAAGACTATGCTTTGACAGGGTGCTAAAGTTGACATTATGTTTGAATATACAGGTTTTAATCCCGAATCCAAGCAACGCTTGTGCTGGATTCGATGATCTATTTGGGTGTACCTTCTTCGACTTGACCGCAATTCATGATGAGCATAAAGGTGATACGGAAACCATATTACAAGCTGATTTTGTAAGTCTTTGCATTCAAACATGGATCATAACTTTGTCATTGGAGGGAAAGAATTAAAACATGGATCTAATCTTTATCTTGCCATGCAGTATCATGCCAATGAGTTGCTGCCTTTGAAAGATGATCTTGTAATTGAAAAAGTTATGCCATATCTTTCTAAGTGCATAAATGGCCTTGAGAGAGCCAATGTGGTGGACAAAGAAATCAGAAGGTTTCCGAAAGGATTGACTCATTTTTTTCCAGGTGAGCAACCAACAGCCTAATCGAATTGAACAGTGATATTGGGTGTGAAGGGAACAATAAGTACCCAAGGAAGATTATGATGAGGATGTGGGGACGAAAACCTATAAATAGACCCGACCAACGTCGTCTTGTACCGTTTTCAGACCTTTATAAAGCATTCTGCAATATGTTAAGATGCTTTTGGACTAAATAAACAATTAATTTTGTGTTCTTGCTTCTCGAAAAGGTTCGTGGTTCCTAATTTGTTTATGGCCGGAGACTGGATTATAACCCGACATGGTTCCTGGTCACAGGTTTGCTATTGTGATCTCAAATTGCATATCATTTAGCAAGGGACTTTGAAGGCATTATATAACCGGTTTGAACATGTTTTTCTGCTGCTTATAATAGGAGAAATCTTATGTCACGGGGCTTGAAGCTGCAAATAGAGTGGTAGATTACCTTGAAGAAGGGAGTTTCGCCAGAGTGATACCTGTTGAGGAAGATGAGCCTCACATCGAAGCACTTCGCAACTTAAATAGAAGGGTTAATGAGATTATCAGCCAAGTTCCGTTGTCCGGATATTTTCTTCAATAGATCTAATACAAATAATGTATGCAAATTCCTACACTCATGCAGCAGAGTTCACTTATGAATTGGGATGTCATGTAAAGTAGGAATAATTATTATTGACTTCAATATGAATCATGCTCAGGAGACAACTTCCCTTCTTTTCCGTCTAATGTACAAAAGTTTACAAGGGCATCCGTGCTTAGCAAAGTAGGAAAGGATCCATAAAAGAAATCATGGAATAATTGTTTCGAATGCTAGGAGATCGTGATTGCTTACGATAAACATCAGCCAGCTTTCGATGTTCTTACCACCAGAGGCAGGGTAACAGAATCAAGATTCCTGGGATAGGGAGTCCACAACCCAAATCCACCTCTACTTTCTTTCATGCTACTACCGCTACCCTTGAACTCACTCAAGCTTTTCACCCACTCTACTTTAGAAGAATGCTCCCGGGTATGTGGGTGCAGGACAAAAAGTGAGTAGTACTCGCAATTTCCAAACATAAAGAACTTAAACAATCCCTTTAACCTGTATACAACGTAGCCAAAGCTCAGCTGGTCTCTAGGAGTGAAGAGATTGACCTCATTGAACCACAAGCAATTAAACAAATTATTCAATGCGGTATGTTCCCTTATAATTATGGCTCCCTCAGGCACATCTGCATTTGGTTTTTGTGTTAGTACCAAGAAATATAAAATGCATCAATAGGGAAAAAAAAGAATGTTATGCATCCTTTATGAACTCATTGGAAGGTCATGCACTTTACTACTTAAGGCAACCCTTCCATAATTCATAGAAGAACATTATGTCTCCCTTCATACCGCTAATCGTATTTTTCTTCAAACTCCATGGCTCCATTCCCTCAGAGTAATATATCTTCATGTGCAGATCAATAAGAGGTCTGGCATATCGCTTCCTCCGCTTGTTTGCATCAGCCTCCTCATATATACTCCTATGATGTTTGTGCTGAGCAATAGCGTAAGTATGCTTATCACGCCATAGGTATCTGCCAATAGAAAATATTCATATAATCCAACTGTCTCTGCATCAAGATAATTCAAACATTCTATAACTAGGAAAAAGTTAAAGCAATAAGCTACATAGTTCGAAATAGTTCAATAAGATGACAAATCTTTGGAGATCGACTTTCCTCTCATTAGTCAACAGGGAAAATAATGGAAAAAGCAAAGTTGTTAACAATTTAATCAGACATGAATATACCTTTCAAGAATGAGCAACGGATCAACTATCAGCTCCATTTTGCCATCAATCCAAATGCTGTACTGTGCTTGAGGGAACAACCTGTGGGTTAAAATTTTGGGAACCTTTCCATTCCTTCTGGGTTCATCATAAGGTGGATGCTTCAATGGGATAAGACGCCATATGCCTACCCACATCCCCTTATCTTTATCCTTCCTCACGGTCACATTACGTTTAATAAATTTGAGAGATACTTCGTCAACAACCATCAGAAAACAGAAGAGCTTCTTAGAACGAGTACTTATATTTGATGGCTGATGAGGCACGTCATATCCATCAAAAATCCCAGATGCAACCACAAACCTACATCTCTTGACATATTCAATATCCACAGGATTCATATCAGCACCACCATTTTGCAGAAATCCACAGTGCACCTAAACAGGAAAAAAATTACATGATAAAACTACTTAATTCAATTTTCAGCCATCTAACAGAGGTAGGAAGGAAAGGGCAGATGCAAGAATGAGGAAATTTTCATCCCGGGCATATATGAAACCTAAAATATTAATTGGGTGTGGGAGGATGTTTATCCACAGGACCTAGACCAGATGTTGCCTAAGTTATCTAACCATATGAATAAGACCAGGGGATAAAAGCAATAAAATAAGGTTTACCTTCATACTTGGCTTCAATTTAAAACTCTCTTCTCTTTGCAGCCAGCTTTGGTTACCTCCAAATGCAGCGAAGGAATGAGATCCATTGCTAACCAAATCCTCCTCCTCAATATAGGTTAGATCTTTAACAATTAAATCCGGTGTTCTTCCTTCTGGAATAACTATTTTGTCAGGGTCATCAGCTACTGGAATTGGACAACCTAATAGATGAATTTACAATCAATATTACTCATTGAAATGGAGTGAACAGCATTTTCATAAACAAGAGTTTGCATGAACTTTACGATGTTCTGGTTTTGGAGCAAATCCAAGCAAGTCCATTGCAATGAATACCTTGCTCTCTTTGTTACACATGGCTGCATATGAAGGGAACAGCACATTGTCTCAAACCAATAACAAAACACGGTTACAATTTGCAGGCCAAAAGTTTAGATTGCTTGGGACATTTTCACTAGTTATGAATATAACCTTGATAAATGATAAATCCTGACTAAATCAAGAATTAGCAGAGCACATCAAAAAGGAAGCCAAATCAAATTCTGGATTGTTTAAAAACCTCCCTAGTACAGAAAAGAAACAAACCATTCTTTTTTCCCAAGTATTTTTCTCATTAATTAATTAACAAATATAAAATATATCACTACATCAAACATAAATTTCAGTCATATTTACAATGACCCGTTGCCGGAGCAAAAGTTAGTACACTGGATCAGTATCTGTTAAAATTTTCGATCAAAATAGCAGAAAAGTAATATGAACTCTATTCATTACCCTAACTCATATTTCTGTAGAGACCAACAGAATTTGACTATTTAAATCTAAACAATATATAATTACGAACACTCGAAAGTAAAGACAGATCAAATAAAAAAGTATGAAACCGTACCTGACAAGAAAGAAATCGATGATTGGCAAGACCAAACATGAAACAACAACACAATAAGAATGAGTAACATCCATAGAATGCCTGCGACTAGAACCAATCGAACGAACCCCTGTTTCCACACAGTCTTGATTGGACTATCTTGCGGCAACCTCATTGAAGAAAACAAGCCACTTTCATCATCTGCATCAAGACAAACCAAAACCTTCAAAACTGCATCTTATTAAGTGACACCGAAATCCAAAATCCACGAAATGAGGCAGGTAGCAGGTACAAATTACCCTTTTAAAGACTAAAGATATACAATCATACAACATAAACCAATGCAATAATCATGACCCAAGTTTTCAGTGCAGCAAGGGATGCGAAAGTCTTACAGATTTTGCTTACCTTTAGAAAATGGGCGTTGATTATTACGCTCCCTACGGCTTAACCGATATGAAAGAGGGGATTGGAGCTTATTATCCATTAGTACTCACTTTCACCTCATCAATAAAAATAACTTCAAAAATTTCTACAAAAATCATCAAAATCAAACAGGGAAAGTTACTAATAGACCTACACTTGTTAGATCTACACAAAACTTGAAACTTTAACACGGAAAATGAATCCAACAAATCATAATTTCATTTTTCATGAACCATTGGGTATAGCAAATACTAATACCTAGCAATATCCACGAAACTTATATAGAAAAATATAGGTAAAACAATGGGTTGTTGATGTTCGAATTGAGACTCAAATCTGGGAAAAACTAAACGAGGATGAAAATCCCAAGTACCGCTGTTTACTGTTTTACGAATCGTTGGGTGTTTGAAAGAAACAGATGTAACGACATCGTTTCATGACCATCAAGCGAATGGAGCAAGACAGCACAAGTCACGAGAGGAAAGATGAATGAACCGACATCGTTTTGATGTTTGGGCTTTATGGACTTATTTTAAAATTGGACTATTTCATCCCCTTTAACCCATCCAAGGCAGTATATCAGACTTGTTTGATATTTGAAATAATTTGAACAAAAAAAATATTATTTGGATTTAGAAAATAAATTTAGGGATGAAAACGGGTCGACCCGAGAAATATATATCCTCCACCCTACTTCGGTTTCATCCAAATTTTTAGAGTATAAATCCGACCAATCCGATATAAAATAAAGACTTAATTAAAAATAATAATAGAGGTAGGAGATATTATAACAATTATCCATAAATTTATTTTAAAGAAATTATACTATTCCGGATCAAATTTGAGTTTTTATATCTTCCACCGAACCCGACCCGACCCATTCTCACTCCTTTATAAAATTCCACCCAATATGACCTGAACAAGAATATTTTTTTAAAAAAAAAATATGACCTTATCTCGGAATTTGTTGATTTTGAGTTAAATTATCATCCCAAGATAAATTATTTTATAGATTGTATCTTAATTCGATTGGAATGATTTGAAAACGTGAGTTTAAACATAATTAGTATATATATTATCTTCTGATTTATAGATTTAGAGAAATCTTGATAATTTTTTGGTATTGTATAAAAATAAATAAATATACTAATCGATTTAGGAAGGATATATTTGACGAATTCTGTAATATCCCATACTCGGGCCAGATGAACGGATGAATAAGTGTTGTCATGAACTAACTTCGAAATATATCCTAAATTTAATCATCAATTTTTTTATTGCCCTTTTGGTTTTCAAGGTTTTATCTTGACTAATTCGGATTGACTCGGGTTGCACACCTAATTTTAGTGGGTGTGTCTTTCAGCGGAGATTTTTTTGCATACAAAATAACTCTAACTCGACACTTATTTAAGTGATATCAAATTACTTACCACTTGAACCAATCTCGTTGGAAATTTAATCTTGACTTAAGAAAAAAAAAGTTTCATTATCCAACATTAAGCATATAATTACATCATATATATATAAGCATACAAGGGCCTCACACAACATTAAAGAATCAATGCAATTTCTAAGTTCATTGTTAAACAAGATAAAAGGATATTGATATCGCTCAATAGATATCGATATTATTGGAATTGTGCTTATAACATCCTCAATTTTTTCATAATGGAAATTTTTTAAACCCAAAATCTTTAAAATAAATTAATGTTGAATGCCATTATTCATACCCATTATTTTTGATTCATTAAATTGATATATATTTTTTTAAAACATTTTAAATCCACAATCACGTGAGTTAGATTAACTAAATATGGATCAAATTGAAAAGCGTGTAAAAGGTTGGCCTTGGAAAGATGATTAAACCATGAACTTAGTTTAGCTGGATTTGGTGTCAACATCTACACTAAACCAAAAAATATTTTCTCCAACAACCTATCTAACAGATCTTTTTTTTCTTCTCCACCTTATCTCTCCATTTTTGCCAGTAATATACTAATGTTAATATATGTGTATATAATAAAGAAATGAAAAATGCATACTCCTTTAAACCCTTCCACCCACCCAAATTCACTATAAAAAACCCTCAAATATGTCCTTTCACCTTCTTCACCAATATCCTAAGCTTCCATCGATGAATGCTTCATATCCTAAGAGAAAGGAAGTTCAAAAACCAAAGAAATTCTTACTGCGTATTCATGTTAAGAAGAGAGTAGGGTGTTCTTGTGTTAAACTTCAAAGTTCTAAGATCATTTTATGATTTCGGTAATAGAATCCATGAACCCTCATTCCACCCATTTGTCTTCATACACGTATTTAGCTTCTTAAGGATTGATATTTATATACACGTATTTAGCTTCATATGTGTTATTTGTTGAGATAATAGATCTGTTTCTTATACCTATGAAAAAAAAATCAAACCACCATCGCATCGTTCCTCTCCCTCCTATCCCCCACCTCCACCGGTCAGGTTTTATTTGGCGTAGGACGAGGAACTCAACAGTGACGACAGTGTAACGTACGAGCGATTGTAGCCGTTGAAATCGTTGAAAAACATCAATGAAAAATCTAGAAATCCGATAACACTTCGTGACGTTTTTTCACGACGATCGACGTAGTTTCACGGTGAGTGGGGGACTGGGTGTTGGTCGTGATGACGAGACGGTTCTGATGGTGTCAATGATGACGGCTACGGACCGACGATAATCGATCAACCGTGGAAGATGTAAAATTTAGGGGGTTTTTTGTTTTTCTTTTAATTATAAAATTAAGTTTTTTAAAATAAAATAATTTTTAAAATTTTATATGCGTGACACGTTTCAGAAAACGACCAAATTTTATGGTCGAGTATCTAAAAGTGTAATATTATAAATGTTAGACACCTATTTTTAACGAAAAATTTGTTATACACGAAATCGTATTTTGAGGTATAATTTAAGAAATAAAGAGTGTATTAAGCTTCTTTTTTTCCTGCCGAACAAAATTACAACAATGCTTGAGCATGCAAGTAAATCCATCTCTTATTCTTCTGCTAGAAATAGATAAGCCACTCTCTGTGCTAAGCATCTGGCAGCTGGGAAAAGTTGATCGGCGATACGAATCTCCGTTCCCCGCCGTAGAGCGTAAAAGCTGCCAACTTTGAAGCAGCTTGTGTCGGGTGGAACATGTCCCAGAACAAATATTCATCTCGATTCGAGCAAAGATTAGCTTTGGGAGTACAAAAGCCTTGTGCATTCAATGTGCCGTTTCCACAGCACGCGGTTTTCACATCTGTAAAATCTGAAAGAAAAAGAAATGGAAGTTGAAGATCATAACCCATAAATTGATATTATCATTCTACTGAGAAATGCTTACTGAAAAATCGAGGTTTATTGATGACATTCATTGTCATATCAACCGCATTTCCAAGAGAATACTTGATGTCCTTGTATTCTGAACTGAGGTTGCTCAAAAGGGGGTTCATTGGTCGTTCAACTCCTCCAAACATTCACCGTTAGCTTGAGAAATCCTTTGAGACGGGCAACACCCGACCGGTGGAACACTTACTATGCCGAACTTCCGTGCCCCGAGACTAATTAGCATATAGCATAACTTTATTGCAATCTGACAAATATAATTCCTTGTTAAACATGACATAGTTGTTCATCTTAAGCTGTGTTACTCGAACGTCGGGTGAGTGTCAGATACAGGTACATCGCCTACAATTACTCGATTTATTTAAAGCTTTTCTGTATATTTAGAGGGTCATATGTGTGTTAGCCACTGGTGATCTAAACAGTTTTGTGATTATACCTTAGGATCTCTTATATGATGCTGATGTTATTCAAACAAGAAGAAAGAATGAAATCTCACCCTTAAGAATTTCTCATATACGAGTCCTAAATTCGGTATGAACTGTTCTTTCGGTATCGGATTGCTTGAATAGTAATTCCCCAGAATGTCATTGCTACCAATGCTGATGAAGAACAGAGATTTTGCAAGAAACTTTTCAGTTTCTGATGGACCTTTGAATGCCAAGAGATCATTGTAAACTATAGAGAATTGGTACAACTGTTCCCCCATAGGTACAACATTCTTTCCCTGTGCCTACGAAATCAATGTAGGAAGTGTTAATCGAAAAGATAGATCAAACAACCGAAGTGTCGATTTATGTTTTGCAGAAATTAACAGGCCTTACCGTCGTTTGTCCGGTCGAGTCGAGAATGCCACATCCAGCTGAGGAGAAGTTTATACCTCGGAACTTAGGCCTCTTAACAGCAGATGTTCCGTTTTGAGAAAGAAACGTTGGTGGACTTCTCTTGAAACCAAATAGTTTAGCTGACAATGATGAAAGATCACAGCTTTTCATGTTAAAGAAGCAGTTTGCAAGTTTCTGATTCGAATATTGATATCTGCAAACGGTGGGGAGTAGTACTAAATTGTAATATACTAACCAAGATAATCAGCAGTATTGAAGCCATTGCTGAATCTGCCAGTTGCTCTTGCAAAAGGGAAATCGACCCCATTGTGCGGGAAGTTAGATTTTATGCTACTTTGAGGCAAGTAATTGTTGGTTCCGACATCGGATGTCGAGTCTCCGAGTACGAAGATGGCTGGCACCTCTCCATTTGCTAATTGCAGGGCACCAGCCATAACCAATGACAAGGCTACCAATACAAACATCTTCTCCATGGGAAATTGAGGAAAGAAACTAGTTTCCCTCAACCCTCTTCTCCTTCTCCTTTTTCTCTATATTATGGTAATATTATCTTCATCTTACCAACTATTTATATGCAGATAAGTCATAGGAAACCTTAGGAAATACCGTCAGGGTGGTCAAACTTACGACCTTATATTGCTGTTCTGTGGCATTTGGTGGAAGGTGGTATTCCAAGGACGCATTGACCTTTTCTTCAACCTTTCTTTCTCATTACTAAGCTATTTGGATTTTTCTCATGAAAGAATCAAGGAATCATGCTGTTATGTGGTATTTGATCAAAATTTGTAATATCGCAACCCTTAAAATTTTTATATAACTTTCTAAATTCGCACACTCATGTTATTATCATTAATATATATTAGGCTTGGAATTCGAATATCAATAGCTACATATCTTTTAGTAGACATAGACTATTGTTGTGTATGTATACATTCATTTTATTTTATTTATTGAATTTCATCCAGAGATTTTTATGTTAACATGAATGCAAATAAGAATGTTTAGTTTAATACATTTATTTGTAAATCTATAGTTACAAATCCAAATACAAATTGAAAAAATAAAATTGGGTTTGGGACCTCAAAGTTGTGCCCATTTAATAGTTGTGTAAATGGTTTATTCTAACCAATTTCAGCTGTTGTTAATCTAGGACGAATGCATAATTTTATGTTAAGGGTGAATTTATAAAATCTTCTAAGGTTAATCATCCCGTCAACTCGCTTGATCCATTCCTTGCTGCTAAATTTTCAGAGGTGTAGTGCTTTTCCTTTGGGCTCTGCCACATAGCACAGCATTGTTTGGAATGGGAAATTCATCCCTGACTGAGGTCACAGGTGTGTAAACTCGGAGGTAAAATTGTTTTCCAAGATATTGCCTTGCCCAGAACTCACTTCTCACATTCCACATTCCAACATTATCAAGAGCTATGTAAATGGAAGTCCATGATTTAGGATACACCTGCAAGCACCACCCATTATTATAGTTTCCTCAAACATGTTGGAAGCGTGGACCAAAACATAATGATCCATCAAGTTCTCTAACCTGTGTGGTGGATCGTGAAACTGAATCTCTCAAATTATATTGTTCACGACAGTTCGGAGCCCACAATCCTCCATCCATGCTGCAAATTTATAAGTTAATGTTAAGTTGATGGGGGAAATATTGTGGTTTCCATGAGAGAAACATAAGATTCTTACCCAACAACCCAAAAGGCATGTCCATCAATATGCTAGCTCTGGACAATGTTTTCATGGTTCTCAAACACAACTTCTACAAAGGTTCGATAATTGGCACCCATAACCGATGTGCCGAGGTACATGCTTTGACCGGTTGGATTGTCTGGGGTACTTCAGACTCGAAAAACACCTCCGATCTTGAAGTAGTCAGCTAGTTTCAGAGGTGTATCAGCTGGAAGAAAATACACACTGTTAACACCATATCTTTGCTTCCCATTTACTTGAGCAGCTGTGCTCACTAGCTTGATTGTTCTAGTAATGTTAACGAGACCATAGTTGTACGAGCCCTGTAGATTCGGCCTTGGTCCACTTGCAGACAAATTTGTCCTCAAATAACACCATCACACGATCAAGATCATCAAAAGACAATTCACGGGTTTTCAAATATGCATGAAACAAGGAATATGAAGCTTTTACCTGATGGATCGAACCTGGTTAAGAGACCAATCTATTCGGTCAGTTGGTCCACCAGGAATTGGTACTGAAACTGGTTTGTTTGAGTTACTGTAATGAAGAATGGCAGTGGTGGAAATGATCTTGTCGGTGAACCGAGTCGAGGCCACAATGTAGAAATCCTGGGCAGCTTGATCCATGGTAACAAGCACAGAATAAGACTGGTCGACAAGGACATCAAGTGATTCATAGATTGTTTGAACAGTGTGGGTTCCTTCTACTTCCACCAGCTTCATTTTGTGACCCTGAATTCTGATATTTAATGAATTTTGAAGCCCAACGTTGGATATCCTAAACCTGTAAGTTTTACCTATGAACAATACTAATAATGTTCATCATCATTGCACAATCAAATAGAAACTCATCAAGTGTCAAATTTTATTCAAGGGAAAAATGGACAACCTTGTTGATAACTCCGTAAAAAGGTTACATTTTGGGACATTTTCACTTAAGTTATTGAATGTTTAAGAGTTCATTTAGGACCATGTATATGCATTTAGAAGCATTTAGTTGCATGTGGTGGAATTCGGTTTGCCGTGGCATTTTAATTTGTCATCAGTGCTACCTTATGGGGAAGGTGTTTGTCTAATGATGTGCAGAAATTGAGAGCAAGGAAAAGAGAAAATATAATGCCGTGACATAAGGAGATTGCTGAGCAAAATGAAATTGTAAAGTTCGACTGGAATTTCGATAGCGCTTAAAGTACGAGAAGATATTTTTGAAGCCATCTGTCTCCGACTTTCCGAGAGCTCTGCCCGAGAAATCCACCTCGAAGATCCGCCTGGAGGGATTAGCACTGCAACCGCCGGTCCCACTGATGACGCCGCCTGACCCTGTAGATCATGTTTGTCATTGGGCGCCTGCAACGGGATTATGCCGGTCACTCAGCCAACTACCCAGGCTGTATCATAGCCTATTCAGTCCGACTCCCAAGCAACTTAACCATGGTTTTTGGGTTTCCTAGGAAAGTTAACACCAAATCCTAGGATTAGTTTTCCCCTATAAATAGAGGATAAAGCCATATTGTTGAAGATTTTGGTTCCACCCAGATTTGAGCTTAAAAAGTTAGAGAGAGAAGGTCTCATCTTTTTCCGGCAATCCTACTTGTCGTGGTATTTCTCCGTGACAAGCCTGCGGGAGTGGCGTTCTAGGCATCCGAGAGGAGCTAATTCGCTGGGAGCAGTTTGTGGTGGCTGAGGGAAGCTCCGGCAGTGCACGTCAAAGGTTTTTTCTCATTCCCTTAGTTCTTTGCTTTTATATTTTGTTATTTGGGTTGTAAGGAACGGATAATCTTTCTTTGTGCTTGCTTATTTCGAACTCCACCATGAACTAATCCTATTTGGTGGGAGTTCATTTTGGGTGTTTAAGTTTTATTTCAATGAATGGTTGATTTTTCTATGCTATAATCTATTTTGTTTATGGAGTTTAATGCCTTAAGGTTGTAGGAGCTACGAGAGTAACTATTCCTTAGACGATTCGTAGGGTTCGAGAGAATACCTAGGTAACATATCCTTAGTGTTTAAGATAAACTGTGGAGGAACTACATAAACAAGGGGTTCTAGGTAGTAACTAGGCCTAATCCACCTTAGAGATAAGGCTAGAATTTCATTCGACTAAAAGGAGTTGTGCATGAACGATAAGTTAGATGTTAATGTTGCCGCAAAAAGGTATTGCTGAGACATATCCTGTTATCTGGACCAATAGGATCACTGCAAGGGTTTACGCCAATCGCTTTTGCCAGGGCATCTTTAATCTGTCGAGTCCCTTACTAGAGATAGCATAGGGCACCTTAATAGACTTTGTCGGGTAGACTAGGTATAGAAGAAAGACCATTCAGAGAAGTAGACTTAGATTTTCCTTAGTGACTCCTATCACTCACTTTCATAGTTGCTTGTCGTGTGAGAAAGCCAAAGTCCTATTAATCAAACCATATATTTACATTTTATTTTGCCTTGACATTTTCATTTGTTTCCATTAAACACAATCTATTTTGCCATGACATATCCATTTTCTACCACATTACCATCGTTCCACTTCTACATCAGTCATTCCATTTTGCCCCTGCATTATCATTTGTGTATATCATTACTAACTTTACTTAGGTGACAAAGTAAAGTACCTTGACAAACTTATTTAATTTCCTCCAATCCCTGTGGAGTCGATACTCACTTATCACTATATTACTTGTTCGATTGTGTATACTTGCACATATATCCGCACTCATATTTAGTACTCACAAAAAGCGGACACTTGTTCAACTGTGAAGGAAGCATCATTAGATCCATGACCATTGATTAGAATATCATCAAGGGAAGGAAGCTTATGACCACCATCTAGCATAGCTTTCAATTGCTGCAATAATGGTAAGCTGAACTCATACAACTAAACATTACCTTTATTCTGATAAGATATCAAGGTTGTGTCATAATTTACCAGTGGTCATGGTTGAACCAATCTCCAATAAGAAGGGTGAAAATGCCAGTAGGGACGGGAAAAGGCACCAGAATTCTCGGTCTACTAAGGATCCTAATACCGCCGGATGCTTTGTGGAAAGCAAGAGAAGGGAAATAGAAAAAGCTACCTATTTGATCCTTCACCTGTAAAACGTAAGTAAAATTCTTGCCTAGTAGGATCGGACATGTAGTTTCATACACCCCATCTTGGTACGAGTTTCTCATTTGTTGCAACCTGTTCTTGTTTCATATGAGCACCCAGACTCAGATACATAACAAAAAAAATCCAACATTAGAGATTAATGGGAACAAACTCGTCCCCACCCAAATTAAAAGATGTGACGGTCAACAGTCAAAGTGACCACCAACAAGCCAATAAGATAAACTTATTTCCATGAACACTCCATCCAAATCAGATATGAACTGCTGAAAACCGATGACATAAACTTGTTCCCTCAGCAATTGTAACACCCCCAACCCGTACCCGACCCGGATACGAGTCCGAGGTGTCACATTGACTTTTCAAACTTTGTCTCTTGACAAAATTCAAAGAAAATTTAAAACATTCATTAAAGTAAAAGCAGTTTAGTTACATAATTTGACCACAATAACCAAAATCGATCAGAGCATATTTAACTCAATCAATTAGTACATGCCAACTATATTCAAAATAAAAAAATCATTTAACTCATCTATTTTCTGATCTGAAATCTTGTAAGGGAGATGCTGACCTGTATTGCTCCTCACAGCTTCTATATTCACTTTCTGTAACCTGCGTGTGAAACACTCACACGCTAAGTCAATGACTTAGTGAGGCATAAAGAAAAACACATCTAATGGAATTTATACCCACTAATCATGCATGACTGTTTTATGCTATCAAATTATACAACTCATTTACATATACATCAACATATATTCATGTATATTATGTAACAGATACCATAACCCCTATCACACACATATATCATATCATGCAATTCATATCACACATCATATACATATATCACATACATTGTTCTCATATCACCAACCTGTTTATCCTTACTAATTTCCTTGTCATTACTTCAATTCTGTCATATGAACATATAATGAATATAAACATATTATATATTTTTTAATATGCCACAATACATTACTAATTTCTATAATCATATAATACATAAACGCATAGCATCTCATATCACCATGACATATATGCACTTCTACCATGTCACGAGAAATACACATATCATTATATCAAATTATGTTCTCTTTTCAAAGCCCATGTACACATGTGAGAACTATAGATATGTGAGTCTATAGAGGTTGTGCACTATGCTGTCACCACAGCTCATATAATTGCACCGAAGTGCCACGTAGAATTGCGCCAGAGTGCCGCGTAGAATTGCACCGTAGTGCCACATAATAATGTCCATAAGGACCACATATCATTCCTTAAGAATCATATACATATACTAGGGATCAAGTATGTGTCTCACCAGACTTCACACATGTTCCAAAGAAATACATATATGTCCCGAAGGACCCATATCATTCCTTAAGAATCATATACATATGCCAAGGATCAAGTATGTGTCTCACTAGACTTCACACATGTTCCAAAGAATACATATATGTCCCGAAGGACCGCGTAGACCCTCGACTCTTGGCATGCCAACTATACCCCTAGCTCTCATGACACATAACATGGGCATTAATATTTATGTTAACATACATTCACATATACACATAGTCATGTAGTTCTTTCACATAGCTCATCGTCATATAAATCACATATCCCATATACATATAAACACATGGTTCACTTACGCGTAGAACATTTTCATATAATCACATAGTCATATAATATTTCATATAACATATATTTTCTCTTTCGTATATCTCATATCATCATATCTTGTGATCATATCATGTTACTATAATCACATAACTTCTACTCATAGGGTTCAACATCATTAACTTGGTTCCCTTTTTCATATCATACATTTATATTCTTATATGTCCTATCAATAACCTATAAACTCATATTCCTATATCATATTTTAATATAATTTGTATAGTATACTCTATAATTGTATCATATAATGATTTTACCCAAGTACTCCTTCATAAAGTTTATATTAGGTTCAATTAGTCTCATTCTATCTTATAAATAATTTCCACTTATTTTATATCATTTTCCTTTTCCACTCACATAAACCATCTATTTATTTAGTTCAATTTCTCATGACTTCCACAATACTCTTTAATAAAACTTTGTAGCTCTTTACTTTAATACATAAACCATAGTTTCCTTTAATTTATCAATCTTCCCTATATAACTTATGTATCCTTATTTATGTTTATGCCCTCGAATTTATACTATCCTTGTAGAGTCTCCTAACATTTCTCGTATAATCACTTATACCATATCATATGACTTATACTTGATTATTTTATTCTCTCATGTTCATTTCATTTCTTATGACTCTATCATATAACTTATTCCATGTTTTTCCATTATTACATAATAAAGTTTTACATAAATCATATAGCATATACAAAGCATATCATTATCTTTAGTCATGCATACATACAATCAATGTAATACAGATAATCACTAGTATGCACTCACCTTGCCTCACTAGTCAATTTCAATCTCTTATCTTTCCCTTGATCGATCTTACTTACCAAATATTCTGGAATTGCTTTACGCGCAGAATCTACATAAATGTACATTTTGAGACAATCATTAGATACCTACACCTTGTAATTGGATACTAGCAACTTAAACGAACTTATTAAACCCATATTCACAATTTTCCTTTAGGGGGGAATCAGTTCCCTCTTGTGGGGGAATCGGTTCCCCCATGAGATTCTGGAATTTCTGGTTCGTTTGAGGGGTATCGATTCCCCATTGAATGGGTACCGATTCCCTTGAATGGGTACCGATTCCCCTTGCCCAGAAATCATATTTTCAGCACGAAATTTACTTTATTTCATCTTAAACACTTCATATTTCAACCTCTTCTATATACTAAACTCAAACACACATACTTAAGCCCATTTGTACTCATTTAATCCATCTTAATTCTCAAAATCCTCTCCTCTTAATGAAATTCGAGAATTATACTCAAATTTCAACATGTTCTAAATTCCTTTCTATCACTCCAAATCTCTTAATTCAACTATTGACAAGTCAAATTCAACTTAAAATTCAACTTATCAACTTTATTTCAAGATTTCATTCAAAAACTCAAAATCTTTAATCTCTCCTAATTCCACCATCCTTTGTTTTTAAGATGATTTAAGCTTTCCTTAAGCTTAATTATCATCCAATAATCATAACCAAACCTTTAGTTGAACAAATAATCAACTAATGAAGAAACTTGCCTTTGCTTATGGCTTCACGGTGGAAAAGAAGAGAATGAAGAAGAGAAGTCTGGAACTCTCTCATATTTCCCACGTTTATATAATACTAAAAAGGGGAAGATAAAAATCTTTCCCATGAAAAGAACATTTTGCCCCTTTAGTTCATCTATCTTTGCTATTTAATCCAATATTAAAATTCTTTACTTAAATCCTGATACTTTTAATTTCATTTCTAAATTTAACACAAAACTTTCAAAGTTTGCAATTTAGTCACTGACCCTGATTTGGGATGTTACAAATCTTCCCTCCTTTAAAGAAAATTCGTCCTCGAATTTTCACTGCATGCCTTTATAATATCACATCTTCTAATATTTTCATATTGCTTCCCTTAATATTTCCTGCCACCGCTACAACCTACCATTTTTCCCATACTCAATTCTTCATATACGTCCACATCTTTATAAGTCCATATAATATTATTCATTATATAGATAGCAACCCCAAATCCTTAATCCTCACTATTATGGATCAATTGATATTTTTCATCATTCTCTATGTGCTTTGCACATAAATCAAGATTTTGCTCATTTCTTAATCCTTGTAAGTATTATTATACACCCAATATTTTCATATAACCCTTACGTATTTGTTCAAAGAATAATCACCCATTCTCGTTCTTCTAATAATTGAAAATTGTATTATTTCAATATCAACTTATAACTTATATCTCAATATACCTCTTGTCTTACTTGATCGTTTAACCTCCATCTTTGTCTTTTCCTATCCCTTTATTCTTTCATTCCTTCCAAAATCAAAATTTCCTTATAACATAGATCATATCTTTTCTTCAGGCTCTCATACTCTTTTCATATCATTTATACTTATCCCTGATTACTGATCTTCATCGCATCTTCATAACTTTGATACTCCGCTTTACTTATACAAAACCTCATTCTTTACCATCTCTTGTACTTGTATTTTCTTCCTCAAAGCTCCTTTTTAAACATACCAATACTTATTTCCTTGCCCACATCATATTTATATGATCAAAACCATATCCAATCCACATACTTGATTAACTTAACTTTATATTTTCTTCAAATCTTAGAACTTTATTATCCATACTATTACAATTAATCAGTCATAACTTTTCCAATTTAGGGCATAAGCCCTAATCAGACTAATCATATTCATCTTCTCAGTTGAAATCCAATCAGTGCAATTTACTCACTTATCCAGCCCACACTCTTATCCGTATACAATATTATTCTCTTGTTCCTCTATTACCTTACATTTCCGTGATCAAAATACATAATCGTGTCTCAATTCACACCCTACTTAATTAATTTACCCTGACATCATCTTCTAATCATTTACCTTTGATACACTTACCATCACATAATTCTGTTAGTCACCACCAATTATTCCAATCTAAAGCATAAACATTCATCGAACCATTCATATACATTCATTCCAGTCGGAATTATCTCAGCAATAGTTTACTTAACTTATCAAATCCACATTTATTATGATCCAAATATTCTAATCCTTTACCTTTGATACACTTACCATCACATAATTCTGTTAGTCACCACCAATTATTCCAATCTAAAGCATAAACCTTCATCGAACCATTCATATACATTCATTCCAGTCGGAATTATCTCAGCAATAGTTTACTTAACTTATCAAATCCACATTTATTATGATCCAAATATACAACTGTATCCAGATCCACCTCATCTTTGGTTTTTCTGTTATGACAATATCTCAAAATCTTATAATTCACATACATTTTCCATCACATAATCTGGTTAGTCAACGCTAACTCTTTTCATCTAGAATGCAAACCCTTATTATAGGCAAACCCTTATTATAGGCACACTCTTGCTTATACAAAATATTATCCCTTTGTCTTAAATTCATAAACTTTATCTCCATATCTCTTATACACTTGTCACTGATGCATCTATTCTTGAATTCTTATACAAATACTCACCATATCCTTTGATCTTTTTAACAATCTTATAGTGACACTTGTTCACCATATTCTATCTTATCCACATAATAACAAAACTACTCAATATTGTGTTTCCGATTCAAAACAATGAAAACTTTCTATCATTATTCAGATATGATTTCAGCTTTCTGAAATCAACTTTTGATCTTACTAGGCATTTCCTGTGGTGTCCGCTCTTCATCCTGCCTGGCCAGGGCAGGTGAATAGCTATCACAGTCAGGAATATCACCTTTCACTTACTTCAAAATTATTACGATCGGATTTCTACTGTATTAAACTATTCTTATTCTATTAGCAAGACAACATACTCCTTACACTATCATATCAGGAATTTTTCACTCTATGTTGGCATGTACACATTTTATGACACTTTGGGCTTCGGTTTATGCCGAGAATCGGCTAAACCTTAGCTCTGATACCATTAAATGTAACACCCCCAACCTTTACCCGACCCGGATACGAGTCCGAGGTGTCACATTGACTTTTCAAACTTTGACTCTTGACAAAATTCAAATAAAATTTAAAATTTTCATTAAAGTAAAAGCAGTTTAGTTACATAATTTGACCACAATAACCAAAATCGATCAGAGCATATTTAACTCAATCAATTAGTACATGCCAACTATATTCAAAATAACAAAAATCATTTAACTCATCTATTTTCTGATCTGAAATCTTGTAAGGGAGATGCTGACCTGTATTGCTCCTCACAGCTTCTATATTCACTTTCTGTAACCTACGTGTGAAACACTCACACGCTAAGTCGATGACTTAATGAGGCATAAAGAAAAACACATCTAATGGAATTCATACCCACTAATCATGCATGACTGTTTTATGCTATCAAATTATACAACTCATTTACATATACATCAACATATATTCATGTATATTATGTAACAGATACCATAACCCCTATCACACATATATCATATCATGCAATTCATATCACACATCATATACATATATCACATACATTGTTCTCATATCACCAACCTGTTTATCCTTATTAATTCCCTTGTCATTACTTCAATTCCGTCATATGAGCATATAATGAATATAAGCATATCATATATATTTTAATATGCCAGAATACATTACTAATTTCTATAATCATATAATACATAAACACATAGCATCTCATATCACCATGACATATATGCACTTCTACCATGTCACGAGAAATACACATATCATTATATCAAATTATGTTCTCTTTTCAAAGCCCATGTACACATGTGAGAACTATAGATATGTGAGTCTATAGAGGTTGTGCACTATGCTGTCATCACAGCTCGTATAATAGCACCGAAGTGCCGCGTAGAATTGCACCGTAGTACCATATAATAATGTCCATAAGGACCACATATCATTCCTTAATAACCATATACATATACTAGGGATCAAGTATGTGTCTCACCAGACTTCACACATGTTCCAAAGAATACATATATGTCCCGAAGGACCACATATCATTCCTTAAGAATCATATACATATGCCAAGGATCAAGTATGTGTCTCACCAGACTTCACACATGTTCCAAAGAATACATATATGTCCCGAAGGACCGCGTAGACCCTCGACTCTTGGCATGCCAATTATACCCCTAGCTCTCATGACACATAACATGGGCATTAATATTTATGTTAACATACATTCACATATACACATAGTCATGTAGTTCTTTCACATAGCTCATCGTCATATAAATCACATATCCCATACATATAACACATGGTTCACTTACGCGTAGAACATTTTCATATAATCGCATAGTCATATAATATTTCATATAACATATATTTTCTCTTTTATATATCTCATATCATGTATCATATCTTGTGATCATATAATCATGTTACTTATAATCACATAACTTCTACTCATTGGGTTCAACATCATTAAACTTAGTTCCCTTTTTCATATCATCATACATTTATATATTCTTATATGTCCTATCAATAACCTATAAACTTACTCATATTCTCATATATCATATTTTAATATAATTTGTATAGTAATACTCTATAATTGTATCATATAATGATTTTACCCAAGTACTCCTTCATAAAGTTTATATTACAGGTTCAATTAGTCTCATTCTATCTTATAAATAATTTCCACTTATTTTATATCATTTTCCTTTTCCACTCACATAAACCATCTATTTATTTAGTTCAATTTCTCATGACTTCCACAATACTCTTTAATAAAACTTTGTAGCTCTTCACTTTAATACATAAACCATAGTTTCCTTTAATTTATCAATCTTCCCTATATAACTTATGTATCCTTATTTATGTTTATGCCCTCGAATTTATACTATCCTCGTAGAGTCTCCTAACATTTCTCGTATAATCACTTATACCATATCATATGACTTATACTTGATTATCTTATTCTCTCATGTTCATTTAATTTCTTATGACTCTATCATATAACTTATTCCATGTTTTTCCATTATTACATAATAAAGTTTTACATAAATCATATAGCATATACAAAGCATATCATTATCTTTAGTCATGCATACATACAATCAATGTAATACAGATAATCACATATAATTATAACAACACATAATCATGTCCATGACTTCATGCATATTACCCTAGGAAATAGACTCATCGCAAGTCTTATTTCCATTAAACACTACGTATCACTAGTATGCACTCACCTTGGCCTCACTAGTCAATTTCAATCTCTTATCTTTCCCTTGATCGATCTTACTTGCCAAATGTTATGGAATTGTTTTACGCACAGAATCTACATAAATGTACATTTTGAGGCAATCATTAGATACCTACACCTTGTAATTGGATACTAGCAACTTAAACGAACTTATTAAACCCATATTCACAATTTTCCTTTAGGGGGAATCGGTTCCCTCCTGTGGGGGAATCGGTTCCCCCATGAGATTCTGGAATTTCTGGTTCGTTTGAGGGGTATCGATTCCCCATTGAATGGGTACCGATTCCCTTGAATGGGTACCGATTCCCCTTGCCCAGAAATCATATTTTCAGCACGAAATTTACTTCATTTCATCTTAAACACTTCATATTTCAACCTCTTCTATATACTAAACTCAAACACACATACTTAAGCCCATTTGTACTCATTTAATCCATCTTAATTCTCAAAATTCTCTCCTCTTAATGAAATTCAAGAATTATACTCAAATTTCAACATGTTCTAAATTCATTTCTATCACCCCAAATCTCTTAATTCAACTATTGACAAGTCAAATTCAACTTAAAATTCAACTTATCAACTTTATTTCAAGATTTCATTCAAAAACTCAAAATCTTTAATCTCTCCTAATTCCACCATCCTTTGTTTTTAAGATGATTTAAGCTTTCCTTAAGCTTAATTATCATCCAATAATCATAACCAAACCTTTAGTTGAACAAATAATCAACTAATGAAGAAACTTACCTTTGCTTATGGCTTCACAGTAGAAAAGAAGAGAATGAAGAAGAGAAGTCTGGAACTCTCTCATATTTCCCACGTTTATATAATACTCAAAAAGGGACGATAAAAATCTTTCCCATGAAAAGACCATTTTGCCCCTTTAGTTCATCTATCTTTGCTTTTTAATCCAATATTAAAATTCTTTACTTAAATCCCGAGACTTTTAATTTCATTTCTAAATTTAACACAAAACTTTCAAAGTTTGCAATTTAGTCACTGACCCTGATTTGGGATGTTACAGCAATATTCATCGGTAATTACTTACCATGATAAAAGAAAAGGTTCATCCAAGTTGTTGTAGACATTAGTAATGAGATTGTCATTGGTAACAGAGTAGATATCAGGACCTGAAAATTGCCCATTGATAAGAATTCCCTGCAAAAGAGAAGCCAGTTATCAAAACAAGAAAACCAATAATAGATAACTTATATAGTATAATATTAAAGTTTTGAAGAGAAGCCAGTTATCAAAACAAGAAAACCAATAATAGATAACTTATATAGTATAATATTAAAGTTTTGAAAACCTGCTGGTGCACACCAAGTGGAGAAATACCACCATAAGTAATATTCCAATGGAAGAACCTGTAAGGAAGGACTCTCTGCCTTGACAACAATAACAACAACAGCAAGAGCCAAAAAGACAATATATCTTTGCCGAAACATTTTCTTTTACTACCGAGACTACTCAGTCGATTGTATAATTTAATTGCGAAATCTTACAAAGAATGTTATAAGGAGAGGAGACTTGAATTGGGTGTCTACAGTCTAGTAACTGATGGCTGAGTTGTTTGGAAAACTGAACAAATTAATGAAACAATGAGCAGAAATGGAGGATTTGGTGTTGATTTAGAGAAGATAATCGTGTTTTTATAGTGGTGCATGGCGTGGGGGTGATAAAGAAGACAGGGTTTAGTACAACTGTTCAATCAGAGATCGACAAGTTCAATGGATGGTTGAGATGGATGATGATTTGGTTTATGGAAATTTTGGTTAAGGAAATAATTATACACGGAGAATGTAATGAAAAATGGGCAGTTAACTATTGACAGAATGGTGACAGTGGGTCTTCATATTTGTGAATTTATTATACCCTGCTGGTAAATTCAATTACATGAAAGGAGAAAAAAAATGAGGAAATATAAATTACCATAAGTTTTATAGAGAGAAAATGGTGATGAAAAGAAAAGAAAAGAAAATTAGGATTACAACCAAATTTACTAACAAAGAAATGGAAAAGAAACCAAATGTCCATGATTGTTATCTCCTCATTTTTATAATTTTCATCGTTAAATTGTATTTAACTTTGAACATTAGTGGTTAAAAGAAATATTGTTATCTTTTTAAGTTTTAGGTTCAACCAGTTACGTTGCATGATGGATGATGTGTGAACTATACACGATTAAAAAAAGATTATAAAAAATACTACTTTATAAACATATCTCAAACAATTCAAAAAAGTTGTATTTAATTTCTTTTGGAGTTGGCTACTATTCTTGGTAAGGATCTCTTTCTCGATAGTGGTGATGACTCTCATTTATATTAATTGATAAGGATATTCAAGGCCCTTCTTATGTGAAACGTACCGTAATTGCTTAGGCTTTTACCTCTTCTTCCTTTAAAAAATATATATACACAAATTTTATATGCAATAAACACAAATAAAACTTTAGGACGAATACCTTAAAATAAAACTTTAGGACGAATACCTTAAAATAAAAGTATTTAGGATGAATACCTTAAAATAAAAGTAGATCCGTCAGTGATCATAACCCTACTCAAACCTTAAAATAATTGAATATATCTCTAATAAACAATTTATAAAAATGATAATATTTTAATTTTAAGGCGTTCAAAATTTTAATACAGTAAGCCAATAATATCATTATAATCATTTTTTTCAAGAGTTTTCTGATATTCAGTTGCTGCATATAAATTTGGAACTCCCGATGCTTATAAATTTTTCCAAATATGATAGGACTAGTAAAATCTATCTTTTTCGGCCATATCAATTAGGGAATATATATATATACCAACAACCAGTTGGTCTAGTGGGATGAAGTATTAGATTCTTTAAGCAAGGTCATGAATTTGAATCCTGGTGTTTACGAACGGAGCAAACACTATATTTCTTAAACACGGTCAGGGATTCGAATCCTAGTGTTTTCGAAAGGAATAAACTGGGTTGGGAGGATCGTCCTCGTCTCTGCAGTATCCGATCTGGGTTAGTCGACCAATAGATCGGGTATCAGTGATTAATTCAATAAATAAATAAATAAATTTTATATCATTATTATATTAAATTTGAGCAAATTTTTAAATAATTTATGATGAGTATATTTTCATAAGATTGTAAGTCAAATTCTTACATAAAAATAAATCTCAAATTCGAATCAAGTTTATATTGTCTCAATAAATTTTATATTATGAGCTAGATGTTTAAATAATACATTTTAAGAATAATATCAGAGATGTCACAAATAAAATATTAATAAGAATACATTAATTATTTAAATATTAAACTAATATAAAATAAAAACATTCAATAAATTTACACTTCAAATAATTAGCTATTTAATTGGAAAATATGCAACAAAATAACTAATATGAAAAACAAGATTATGAATAATTTGTTTAAAATAACAAGAACTGATAAAATACCTAAGAAATAAGTATCGGTACACATTTGTAGTTTACGTTTTTCTTGTGGATTCTGGATAATTTTATTGGTACACATTTGTAGTTGAATACGAGAAACAAGTCTCAAGGAGGAATCTGATCGGAAACTGATAAAACCATGTGCAGCTGAATTCGAGAAGGTTTGGTCATATGCCGGGAGCCTCGGCACAAGACGAGCTTCCAAAAATGCACCAGAGAGAGATTGAGATAAAAGATACGTAACGTTCTATAGTTGAGAGATCTATTAATTGATTGAGTGGTCGAAAATGGTAGGAAACAGGGGTTGCATGGTTCCCAATGGATTGGCTAACATGGTACAATGATATAGAGTGCAGAATCGTTGTGTCTACTGATATATCTTCACATTCAGAGTTGTTTAAAGTAAGATGTCTGTTCTTTTAAGTACTTAAGCCGTTAAAGCACCGGTGGCACAAAATCTGTACAAATGCATTTATATTTGACAAGATAAACAATTACAACTAGAGAAATATGAAAGGAGAAAGATACAGCCTATTATTAATCTTATACCGAATGTAGATGACAGTAAATTCATACTACATTACGAGATATTCGAAGAGAACACTTAGCTTGATAATCGGGAAAATACATCCCAACCATGAAGCAGAAGTACAATATCGAGCTAGGCCGATTCTCTGTTGTCTAGTTGTGCCTGTTGCACCCACCAAAGGTTTTAGTATAAGATGGATTGCAATAAAATCTTGGTAAATAACTAAACACTAGAAACACACTGCAGGAAGTCAAGAAGAGGCAAAATCTCTGAACTCTCATTCACAGTCAATGCAATGATATGAAAATGTGCATTTCTGAATTTTGACCCTTTTTTGGCCACCTCAAGGACGGTGTATAACACAATAACCCTGTGTGGAATCCAAATTCAAATTGCAACCCGTCAATGGTAACCATTTAAATACATTACTTTAAATTCACAGTAAGCTAACATTAGATGCATACCATCAACGGTAACCATTTAAACACATTGCTTCAAATTAACAAGGCCATGCCATCAAGTCTGTGCTTTCCTCTAGTTTCGGCACACTTTACAGAAAATGTACTTGCATAACAGAACATGAGATGCAAAAAAATTTCAACAGAATTGATCATGATTTTGTGCTCAGTCTTTCCATGGTTCCTCTTACTTAGTTCAAAGCACAAAGAAATATGAGAGTTGCAATAGCATAGGTAATTGAAAACGATTAAAAAAAAAAACCAAAATTTCAACAATGCAAAGGAAAATACTTACATTCAATAGTCTTGTTGAAGTCCACCGAGGTGGTGGCCAAAACAGCTTGGAAAATTGAGGAAACTTCTGTAATGGTCCTATAGAACCATATTCTATATCAAATACACCAACATCACACCGCTCCGAAGATTCATCATCTCCAACAGAATAAAAGAAATTATCTGCAAAAATGATGCAGTTCCCTCTACACACATTCAAATCTTCCACGGAGGCAGAAAAGGAACAATCATCACCCAGAAACAACACACGATCGTCCAAATTCTTAACATCAACCCACTGCTTACCAACTTCATCCAACTTAAAAACCTTAAATCTTACTGTCCTCTCATTCATATAAAAAGCAATATTTTCGAAATACTCCTCGACAAAGTCTAAACCAGCCCATGAACACGATCCCTCCGGGGCTTCGATACTCAAATACTTATCAACCAACAGTAACTCACCCTTCGACCCGACCAAAAACTTCTTGTCACCACCAAAAACAGGCATGGCAGCCTCACTGGTCTCAAAATCCAATCCCACAAGCACAGTCCTACCATTATTATCAACAGCATAGAAGTTCCCTTCATACAATATCACATCATCATAAGGAGATGACATGTCTTGAATGATAGTCCATTTCTTATCACTAGTCTTAAACATTGCTAATTTCCCAGAAACATGGATTGTAAGCAAAACAAAACCATTATTAGGATTATTGTCAAAACAAGATATAACAACTTTTTCCATGTACAAGTTGCCCGTATCACCTAGATAACTAAGGTGATTTAAATAATGCAGCACATATTCTTCACCCAATTCAACGATGCTAAATTCCAACAAGTTAAAAAATTTGGGAAAATTCTCAGGGAGGGAATCGAAACGGGACCTTGAGAGAGGATTCAAGAGCTGGACTCTGTTGTTTGGTCCATCTTCTTCGATTTTGACTACCCAGGAGGTCGATCGGTCTGTTTCGGGATTGAATTTGGGCAATCGCAGCAGGAAAATGATGCGTTTCGAGAGGGAAAACCCATTGGAGGTGTTCGCCATGCCACCCTCATCGGGGAGGACAGGGAAACGAGGAGCTAAACGGTGGCGTTTAGGTGATGTAACTGTGGACCGCCACGTTGAACAAATGGAACGGAAACGATTGACATCGAAGGAGGTGTGAAGTCGCTTGGAAATAAGGTAAAGGAGCTCGCCGGGGAGTTGGGTCCAATCTGCCATCGCCGGTTTTCCCGAGAAAGTGATGGAAAAGTAGCAGAACAACGTGGTTGCGAGGAAGCCGTGCACATAAAAGAAGAGCGTCCTCAAATGGGCTATTTGTTTGGGCCAAGTCCAGTTATAAAGTTTTCTCCTTTGCTTAAAGCAACCATTTTCTATTTATTTACTTTCCAACTCGGAGTTGGGCTCGAAGAACAAGAACAATAGAACTTCTGTAGTACTCTGAAATCCATGGAAAAGAAGCAAGAAGCAAGAAGCAGCAAAGTGACAATAAAAGCAAAAGAAATGAAAGAAAAGCTGCTGCTTTGGAAACATTCGGAAGCTGTTTAATTAATGGAGACGATGCTTAAAACGGTACGAGTATTATTGAGATTAATTTGACTTAAAATTCAAGAATTTAAAATTATCAAATTCGACTCAAATTTAAAATAATATAACGTTGGTAAATACCAAATTACCTAATTATCTTTTGCGGTAAAGCATTGCCTTATTATTATAGAGTTCCATTGAAATGGCTCCCAGTTTCACAATATGAATTATGAAATGATAGAATAAAACCTAGTTTGAATTATTTTTAAAGTGTAAGAATCATTAAATAGTTTCAGTTTTGAAAAATATACATTCTTCATTTTAAATTTGATCCAATCAGGGTTTAGGATAACTTTATCTGACCCGAAGTCCGACCTATCTTTTATTATAAAATTTGAATCCAACCCGACCTGACACAAATGTATTTATAATTTTTTTTTAATTTTATTCGATAAAATAAGGATTTAATTGAAAAAATAGCGGAAAGTTCTACAGTGCGACACCCTTAATATGCAACTAAAAAAAGACGTTATCAGTTTTGTTATTATTTAAATAACAAAACCGGTATAAAATTACCTAAAACATTATTATTTATACCTAAAACATCAATATTTTTAACATTTCCGATAAAGTACCTAACAATAACAAAACTGGTAGAAAAAAATAACAAAACCGGTAGTGTTTTACCGGTTTTGTTAATAAAACCGGTAAAACGTCCAATAATAACAAAACCGATAAAAATAACAATATTTCCGGTAATTTTTTACCGATTTTTTTATTTAAATAATAATAAAACCGGTAACACTTTTTTTTAGTTTTATATTAAACTGTCACATGTGATCCAATAGCACATTTTTATTTTATATTTTCTTTCGGTTACAATAGCACATTTTTCGAAACTAATTAGAGTACGCCTAAAATGGTCGAAAATTAAATATCTCATTCTCTCTACTTTAAATTAATCTAACATCTTATTGATATTAGATATTATTAAAATCATTAAATTTAAAACTTAATCTCGTTATGATGATTATTTCTAATGGAAACAAATTTATCTCATCGATAGTTAATGATTCATTCTTTTTAATTTAAAAGAGAGCTACCATCGTTGAGAGAACAATTGTTGACTCGTGTTTTCTATGAGAGATAATTGGTCACGGGGTAGAAGAGATTGTGTGTAGATAGCCCCTTTTTTAGTCTTGGCTTAGGGGTATCTATAATAACTGGTGGTGTCAGAAATAGAATAATTATGATTATTTGTAAGTTAATAAGTTAAATAGATATGATAGTTAAATCCTATAATTTGTTCGATATGTCACGTGGACTTGTCAGAGATCTTATTTGTATATTATAATTGATTCAGAGGTCTGTGTCAGAAGATACAAACTCCTTGGAGGCTCTGATAAATGAAGAATTTTTCTGAAAATCTTGACGGATAAATAACTAACAATTCCCATAAATTACTCTAGGTCTAACAATCTCCGATTAATCTAAAATTATAATTAAATCCCCATGTTACAACATCTACATAGACTTTTTTCCTTCCAAAATTACCTAAAAATTAACTCAACCATACTTTTAATCTAATCCATTGTTTGCAGATGATTTAATAATGATTTTAAACTCCAAAAATGGCATTTTTTAAAATTTGGTCTTATTTCTTCATAAAACCATCATATTTTCTCCCTTGTTTTCTTTAGTCCTCCCCTTTCCTCCTTGTTCCAATTTGACCTTTTACTCAATTTAATCCTTACTACTGCCTTTAATGCTAATTAATCCCTCTAATACTTAGTACCAGACTTGGGTAATTAATTCTCACATATAATATTTAATCAGATTTAACTATCATCAAATTCTCGAGAAGTCAAATGACAAATTTTATTAAAATTCGGGTGTTACATTTTCTGTTTTAATTATATTAATGAAATTCAAATGCTCTCATCTTTGTTTTTGTTTTTGTTTTTTAGTTTATAATAATTTAAGTTTTTTATACATTTTTCTATGTTTATATTGTATGTTTCTCTCTTTTTTGGTATGTTTTTGGTCTTCTTTATCGACCGTTTGATCGTTCTCTTTGTTTAATTTTCTCAGTTGTTGGATTTGATGTCATCTCGATTGAATATGACACTTATTTGTTATCACGTTGATCTTTCTTGCTTTGATTCATCTGATTATATTTAGTTGTTTGCATTCACGGATAGCTTGTCAATGGTCTTTCAATAATTTAATCATCTGTTGTGGTTCGTTTGCCGATGAATTTAGATCTATTCGTATCTATATTTTGTTCGAGTTGATTGGATGAATTTTTAATATTTTCTTTATATGATCATCGTATGACCTTAAGAGCATTGTTCTTCCGTCAATGATTATAAAAAAAATATCTTAATTATATATTCAATTTCCATTTATAGATATACATATTCATTATAATTTTAAATGTTTCTTATTTTTAATAAAACTAACAAATTCTATTTACGTAAAAAAAATAATTTTAATGTATTCAATGGCTTGGTTCATAAATATTCCACGTTGTGTCTTTAAAAATAGAAGATAATTAACCGTAACAAAGGATAGAATCCCTACCATTTTACCAAATTAAAAGGCATAAATTAAAAATACATCCCTAAACTAATCCTCCTTTTTATTTTAAGTTTTTAAATTATATTTTATTAAAATATGTCATTAAATTATTATATACAACCATTAATAGTCTCGTTATTGTTTTACTTAAAAAAATTTCGACCAATGAGATATTGATATGTCATATATAATTAAATATTTGTTTTGACAAAAAATAATTTGAGGACTTAAAACAAAAATGGACATAATATAAGGACTTATTTTAATTAAAAATAGTTTAAATACTTAAAGTGATTAAATATAATAATTTAAGAATTTATTTTTATCAAAAACTAATTTAGGGACTTAAAGGGGAAAAAGTATATTTTTGGGATTTTTTTAGTTTAATCCAAATTAAAATAATATTACTAATCTATTAGACATAATATAAAGACTTATTTTTGGGACTTAAATTGAAGGTCTCCTATAAAAATTGTTCTTAATCTAATATTAGAGACAATCTATTATCTTAAAGACAATCTATTATCTTACCTCTACTTATCTCGTTACATACGAAAGAAGGGACAGCCATTTTATTATGTTATGTTTGGGAGGCGACATCTAACATGCGCCGTAGTTTTCGAGAACCTCATCTTGTTCCGTGAATCTTTCTCCTCCTGCCCTAAGAAAATGAAGGAAATGGCAAATACCCAAATACCCAGTTCAAGTTCTTAGTCAAAATGGAAAATAATCAAATACCCAGATCGAGTTCTTACTTCTTAGTAAAAAAATCTCAAAAAACAAATTAAACCACCAAGTAAAGTGAAAGAGAAAAAGGGATGGCGAGTGGGAGCGTAGAGAGCCTGGATCAGTTGCCGGCGGCCCTTTTGGCTATCATCATGACCAAGCTTGATATCTCTTCCATCTGCTCATTGGCTGTCACATGCAGGACTTTCAATTCTTGTGCTTTTCATATCCTCTCTTTTCTTCCCAATTTTCACATCCTTGTAAGTTTCACTTCCCCTTTGTTTGCATCAAAATTTTGGATCTTTAGTTGTCTCTTCACTTGTTGAAAGGAATTCATTGACATTTGATTTGGATTCTGCTGATTATGATTGACAACATTTCCCAGATCCATCATAATCAAATGAAAAATCTCAACTTTTGAATATTGATGCGTTTTCTGGAGTTCCAAATTGTTCCCTATAACTATAACTATGAATTGATTTTTGTTTTTTGACAATTTGGCAGGAGATCTCACCGTCTATGGGACTAATGAAGCCATTGTTGCCACCAAATCCTCACCTTAAAAGCTTAAAGCTAGAATGTGGTCAGCTTAATGATTCATCCATTGAGCTATTAATTCGACCTTCTTTACATGAACTTTGCTTTCACAATTGTTCAGATTTTAGTGGAAAAGTACTCTCCTAAATCGGATCACGTTGCAAGGATATAAGGTATATATACATATACATTGATTGAGGCCTGCATTTATCGTTTTATGGTGGATATAAATACATTTTTCCCTGTTAGATATTTGATTTGTTGCAGAAAGATTTGGTGTTAGATTTATGATGCTGATTTGTTACCACTTAAAGAGATGTTATCATTAGCTTTATATGTTAACTTTCGTTCAGGTCTCTCTACTTGGGGTCAGTGGCCGAGAAAAGGGGCCGGAGGGTACTAATTTCTGATCTGGAGGAATTACTCAGTGGTTGCTCGCTATTAGAAGTAAGGCTTATTTATGAAAGTAATGAATGAGGAAAAGATTAATGAAAGATTGAAGAGAACTTTTTATTAATACATTACACCTAAAGATGGAGCCAATTAGTGATTTACTTGTAGGCTTTATTTTTTAAGGTAATGAATGAGTCAAAAGGTGTAAAAGATTAAAGGAAATATTGTTAATACATTAAACGGAAAGATAGAACCAGACCGGTTGGCTATTTTCTCGTAGGCTTATCTGTGAAAGTAATGATTACGAATGAGAAAGGTGTAGAAGTCTATGAAAGGTTAATTGAAAATTTTATTAAGACATTAATCATAAAGATGGAACCAGTACCAGTTAGTGATTTTGGCCTAGACTAGATTAGTCCCCAGTATTTTAATTCAGTGATCAAAGGCAGCTATTCAGGAAGAAAAAGAGAAAGTTGAAAGGGAGGAGTTTCATAAGACCTAGAGTTTGTATTTTCCTACTTTTCAGAGAAAAAAAAGTTTCTAGATTTGAGACATCTGCTTATGATTCCGTTGATGTTGTATGCCTGATTTGAAAGTCAGTTTAGTCCCTTTCAAGGGTTAGCCTTGGACTAAAAGAGGTGGCAATAAATGCTTGGCCTTTTCAAGAAATACTTCATAGTTATGGGTAAACCTCACTACAAAATCACTCATTGAAGATCCCATCTAGTTTCCACTATCTTGTTGGTGGGTACACAATCAAACCCTATGCCCTGGAAGAAGTCAGAACAACTCAAAGCTTCCCTTTCCCTTTCTTTTTCTCACTTCTCACTCCCTTTGCCTAGCACAAACGTGAGTCTTGCTTTTATAGTGCAAGCTCTTTCTTTCTTGTCAACACCCAATCTGCCAACCATCATTGATCATATTCTAATTTCAACCAACAATCAAAATGCCTTCAAAGTCAAATGGTAGTCGACTCCACAACAGACGTTAAGTTTCAAACCATGTCCCAACAAATATCCAAAATGGCTTGAAATTCCACTAAGCTTTGTTTTTCAAGAAATAATCTCTTCAGTACCTACCGACATGGGATCATTAAGTTTCAAGAGAATCCACCTAGCTTTACCGTGTGAATAGATGGAAATGCATTTAGCCTTTCAATGGAACGAATTTATATGACTTGTCTTGATACTTGCTGATTACCATATTTGAAGCCCAATAGATCATTGATATCTATCTAGTTGATTGAAAGGAAATATTCATTTAGTTCCTAAATTTACCAGGGTGGGTGCATTTGCTTTCACATTGACCACTCTGATGATTGGTTGCTTATTGGCACTGAAAACTGTATATGTTTCATGTGCAATATTTACTCGGTATACTGGCAGAATTTTTTTTGCATATTTTCTATTTACTTGAAGCATGTTTTTAATTCATAAACTAGATCTGTGTCATTTGTAATTTTCCAACTTATAACTGCATGCCACTTGATAAGTATTCCTTTTTCTTTTCAACTATGCGCCAGGAATTGAATCTGATGTTTGACTTGTCACTATTTCTTCGGCATAACTTTGCTCGGGTTTGGGCTTTAGCTTCAGAAAAACTCACTTCTCTTGAGATTGTCTACATTTCTTCAGTTATGGTGACCGAACTGCTTAGCCCTAATGTTGGACCCCGTCAGTATCCAGATCAAATTCAACCATCAGTATTGCCTAGCATCCAAAAATTATCGCTTGCTGTAGATTATATTACAGATACGATGGTCAGTACAATATCAAAAGGTCTTGCATTATTGACACACCTGGAACTTCGAGATGCACCTGTCATAGAACCAAGGGTTACGTTTGATCTTACCAATGCCAGCCTTCAACAAATCAATTAGCATGGAAGATTAAAACATCTCTCTCTTGTCTGGAGCCAAGAGTTCCTCAGTACTTACTTTAAGCGAGTGAATGATCTTGGGATCCTACTTATGGCTGAAAAGTGTGCAAACATGGAAAGCATTTGCCTTGCTGGCTTTTGCCGTGTTACAGATACAGGGTTTAAGACACTTCTGCATTCTTGTTCAAGCCTTTACAAGCTTAAGGTCTGCCACGGATCCCAGTTGACCGATCTGGTTTTTCATGACATTGCTGCAACTTCCCTTTCTTTGACTCATGTTAGCTTCAGATGGTGTAATCTTCTCACCAACCATGCCATCAGGAGTTTAGTCTGTAACATTGGTCTCAAAGTTCTCGACTTGAGAGGCTGTAAAAACCTTGGGGATGAAGCCCTACCTGCTATCGGCTTTATCCGCGAATTGAAGATGTTACAGTTGGACAACTCAGATATAACTGATGTAGGAATAGCATACTTACGGCATGGCATTATTAGTTCATTGATTTCGTTATCTGTTAGAGGATGCAAGAAACTTACAGATAAAAGCATTTCGGTGCTATTTGATGGCTCCTCTAAACTGCAATTGCAAGAGCTGGACCTATCAAATCTTCCTAGTCTCTCCGATAATGGAGTTTTAACTCTTGCAAAGAGTCGGGTTCCAATTTCTGAACTTCGAATGCGACAATGTCCACTCATAGGTGACACTTCAGTCATGGCACTAGCCTCGATGCAGGTTGGCGATGAAAGAGGACACGGTAGTAATCTGCGATTGTTGGATCTTTACAACTGTGGTGGCATTACACAACTTTCATTCCGATGGTTGAAGAAACCGTATTTTCCAAGATTGAGATGGCTAGGTGTGATGGGGAGTTTAAACAGAGATATTGTAGATGCTTTAGCCAGGAACAGACCATACTTGCATGTCGCTTGCCATGGCGAGGAACTAGGGACCGATCCGTGGAACAACTTAAATGGTTCGTACATGCATGACTATGAGGAGTTGGACGAACTAGAACAATGGGTGCAGGAATGAGAGTGGGAGAGTGATGATGAAGAGATGGAGGATGCTGCAGACGATGCAGATGTGGTGATGGAATGATTTCTCATTGTATTTTTATGTTTGTAACTAGCTACTAGTGGATGTGCTGTTTAACTTATTCGTAGGAACCATAAGGTGATTCAATTCGGATTTAATGTGGACTAACCATTCAAAATTTAAATCAGTCGTGTGTTTGCACATTTATTATCGATTAATTGTAAAAATTTTAAAAACATTACCTTATAGTCATTTTATATTAAAAATAAGTGTCTAAATTATATCGTTTTTTCAATATAGGTGTTTAAATTATTTTTCAATCAATACAAGTGTTTGATATTACAAATGTTACTGTGTGAACGGTCCTTAAGCTTTTTAGAGCTATGGTGGGGGTGATCCAACTTAAATGTTGGGTTTTAAAATAAATGTATAAATAAATAAATTTGGAGTCATTATCGATCTTTGAGTTAGGTAGGTCGAAAACCTAAAAATATCTTTTAAAATAATTTTGAGAAAAATAATTTTAAAATATAACAAATGATATGCTTTTAACCAAAAATCCGTTTCGAAAAGGATTCGTGAGTCGATTACTTGTGAGAAATAATTAACACCCCACGATACCCGAAATTAGTAACTAAACAATTATTGGAATTGCTATTATTATTATAAATATTTTAAATAACCAAATTGTCATACTTCTACTAGTGGCCAAATATTATTTAATCATTTGATTTAGTAACAAATCCAATTTTTATTATTGTTATTCTCTCCATCCCATAAAAAATTTCCCTTATTAACTTTTGAAAAGTTAATTTTTTAACTTTGACCATTATTATTATAAATATTTTAAATAAATAATTTTATAAAATATATATTTAAAAACTACTTGATAATAAATTTTAAATAATAAGTAGTAAAATATTAAAAAATAAACCTAAAATAAATCAATAATAAACATCTTTTATAAGAGAGAGAGAGCGCTATATATATTAATATTAGTAATACTATTCTTTTTAACAGCAAAACTGTTTATTTTATCTTACCACCACTATCAAAATTACTAATAACTATAAGGTTTAAAATAAATTAAAAAAATAAGAAAAACATGTAAAGACTAAAATGCAGAGAACAAAACTATTTGGAGCCAAAACAGAAATAAAAAAACATGCAGAGACCAAACTAAAATTGAAAACTCAGTTTCTCCCAACAAATATTACGACACAGAAATAGCCAGTTTGTCATCCCTAATAAAGCAGGCAAAGATTGAGGTTTTCTAAGTAAACTTCAACACGGCAAAATCAGAGTGCAAAACAAGCACGAAATCCTAATTCCGAGTCCACTCGGCATATCCCGCATATCCCCATCCTTGATAACATTATCAGCTCCTGAGTCCTACTCATCGTCATCTGAATCATTTTCGACTACGGCAGCTGAATTGAGAGCTTTCAACCTATCGATCAACTTGGCCTTCCTTTCCTCGTAAGACAACTTCTTCAGGTTGTACCTATTATACGCAAAGACCAAATTATATCAGACTCGAAATTCTTGAAATCCAAAATATATGTCAACATTCAGGGAATAGTAACAAAGCCAGTTTGGTGGCTTCAGCCTTGCCTGCCTTAATTGACTGAATAACATCTAACACATATATTGCCAGGTGATAAAAAAGAGATTGAAGTTATACCTCTTGTGCTCCTTCGGAGGTTGCTTCTCAGATTTCTTAGCTGTCGGGTCTGCACGAATTGCGGCATGAACCTTTTTGTAAATTGCCTCCAAGCTGTCAGCCTCAATGCCTCTCTTTATGTACTCACTGAAGTGAGATTGATACTTCTCTGGCTCATCTTCAATTAAAGTCTGTCAACTAGACAAAGTTAGAGACTTGCACATGCATGTAACACCTCGTAACAAACCTCCATCTTTCTGAACACCCCACCCCCAACAAAACCCAAACCCCAAAGTGAAGAGAACTTCAACACTATCATTACTTTCTTCTAAGACTTGTTAAAACTGTTAAATCTCACCCTCATGTATGAAGCAACATGGCCACCGTAAATGTATTTGCGGTGAACTTCAGGATCAAGTTGCTTGGTGTCCTTGTTAAATCCAGCAAACCTCTTCTCACTTTGAGGAATATCTATCCCTCCATCCAAAGCTCCCTAGAAGGAAATGCAAAGAATGACTACATCGCAAAACTGAATAGAGAGAGTATAGGAGGAAATTTTGAAAGTAAAATTATATGCAAGACATGCTTTTCTTCAGCAAGACATGGCCCATCTATTAGATTTAAAAGAAAAACTAAAATAATCCTTGCAGCACTTATATTAGCCCACTAAACACAATTATTATTTTAACTAAAAAAAGTCAAAAACTAACAGCCTAACCTCAAGAAAAGACCATGCTCATACACAAAAAATGAGTTTGAATGAAAGCTATCTAGGATGAGGGTAACTTAAAGAATAAAATGGTTAGAACTTAGAATAAACTACAATAAATAAAGTTTTACCCAAGGACATGTAAATCGTGTAGAAAGGGATTCCAACATACCTTGAGAACACCAAAAACACGATTACCAGTGGTGGTTTTGACAAGACCTACGTCAAGGAGAGCACGGAAAGGCCTCCTGGTCTCTGCTGGTTCAACACTGAAGTCCTCCCCAGTTGCCTGTTAGAAAATTCCAAATGTAATTCCAACATACTAAATATACATCAGAATTTTTAAAAAATAAAAACAACATATCTCCACCCTTTAGAAACCATGACATACCTCAACATTGCCCTCGTATTCAGAATCCATCTCCAGCTGCTTCAGTGTTCGGCGAGCCAAAAGGAGTCCAACACAATAAGCTGTGTTTAGAGCATCATTGAATAAGATACTATCCTCAACCTGGACAAAAAATCATCTTAATGTATAGGAAAGCAAATTATACCTGCTGCATAATTTGTAAGACCAACTTCAAGTTCATAGAGAGGAAGCTCATGTGCGTAAGCTGCTGCAAGAACTATATCACCAGAAATAGTAGCATGTACAATTTGGGCAATTATATCCTTGTTGGTCTAGTAAATGTATTAAGGTTAACATATTAACTAGCAGCCTAAAAACTAGAATAAAAAACTACAATGCAAATAAAGAAGAATAATGCTTTTCAGCACATTTAGCATCCTAATAAAATTGTATACTATATCTTAAGAATATATCTCAAGAAACCAAAAGATTATTCACTGCAAATAACATAAACAATAACCGGTTGGGACCAAAGTTGCAAACAAAATGATAATGAGAGGGAAAACGTCAGAAAAAAATTAGGATACAAATCGTGCAACAAAACGATATTTCGGGGTGTTGTACTTGTTCTTGTCCTGATTGATGAGGCGGTTCCTTGCCCGATAGTCCGTCTTGCCCTCTACAAGATTTAAGCAATTATTACACCATCAAAAGCAAGTAATACCTCTGCATAGCACTAACATGAACAGGAATTTTATCATAATACCTCGCCTTCTCTTGAACTTAACTTGAAATCTCTTGAAATAAGCCTTGGACTTTTGAGCTTTAACGTAAGGCTGCACCATAAAAATAAAAATAAATGAGAGAACTCAGATAGCATATACCATAAACATCTCAAAAGGCAACAAAACCTACATAATACCCATCTACCATGCTTTGCACATTCAAAAACACTTTAAACTATATTGAAGCTTACTACCATTAAGTTTTTCAAGTTTAAACAAAACAACATATCTTTTAAACTGATTCGATTGATTCATTTCACAAACAAAACAGCGGCAAATATCTGACAGTATAAAATGAAGATAAATAATATACACAATGAGATATAAATACAGACACGCAAAGCTAAATTATCATAAATATAGATAAAAAGAACGACTGTGAAGAGGATGAGTATTACCATGGCTTTGAAGTCGAGGGTTTGCAAGCGGCCGGGTTGTGTTGCTGAATGAAGAGAAATGTGGTATAACACAAAACCCTAGTGAGTTTTCTTATAGGAGGAATCAACGGTGACGATTGATTTTCAGATTAGATGTTTGGACGCGTGCAAACGTTATTGGGTTGGGTTATAAACTTTGTTTAATGTGGGTCGTCATGAGTAGGATTTCTTTTTGAGCGAGTGATCGTGAGTGAGTTGAGTAGTATTTCATTTGTGGTCGTTAAAAAAATTATTGTTTAAATCGACTCGTTGTCTTTAAGTTTGATAAAAAAAATTAATTCGTGCTCGTTAAAAAAAATTTATTGCTCGACTTGACTCATCGTTCGTTAAATTCAACAAAGTTTTTACTGTGTCTTTTAACTATATGTAAAATCTAATAAATTAATAATTATTAATTAATAATTTAGTATATTTCTTATTATCTATTAGTAGGGATGGGCATGGGACCCGAACCCGACGGGTTCCGATCCGACCCGATTGGGTCGGATTTTTTTTTAAAAAATCGGGTTCGAGTATGGTCGGGTCGAGTTTTTTTAAGTGTGATATTCGAGTCTGGTATGGTTCGGGTTTAGGGTGAAAAATACCCGACCCGACCCAAAAAATATATATAATTTTAACTTATATATTTAAGAATAATTACAATAATACCCTTCTATATATAATTTTTTCAATTAAGTCACTGTTTTTATTGAATAAAAATAATTTTTTTATTATTTCGGGTCGGGTTGGGTCGGGTGGACCAAAAACCCGACCCATGCCCATCCCTATCTATTAGTAAATTAGTAATTATTAAAAAGACTTCAAGGTAACTACAAAAAGATTATTAAAATATTAATGAATTGCACGTGAATTTATCAAGTCGAATCAAATCTTGGTCGACTCAACTTATTAAGGTCTCAAGTCAAATTCGAGTTTGAATCGAGTCAACTCAAATTGAATATCGACTGAATTTTGACCGAGTCAAGTTTGAACAACTCACGAGCTATTTGGCTCACTAAGTACCCCAATATATATAATAGCACAACCTTATATTATTCCATAGAATAGAAAAATAATTATTATTATCATTTCATAGTTTTTTTATTAAACAATAAAAAGTTAAGCATGTGATAATCAAGTTCGATAAAAAACAAGTTACATGTACGGACAATCAATTGATCTAGAGGAATTAAGAATTATATTTCTTAAACAAATTTAAGAGCTTAAACATTGATTATTGTGATTGAAGTAAATTGAGTTAGGAAAGGTATCTCATAATGAGCTTCTGCAAAACTTAATCTAAATTAGTCGGATAATAAATCAAATACAAGTGATTAATTAAAAAAAGCAAGTTAGATGTATAATAAATCGGATACATCCGTAAAATACATGTCAATACGTAGTCTGTTGCATAAGATTTGGATGTGTTTCTATCTGCTTAGTCCCTAATGTTATTTGATAACATACTTTTTACCAATAGAAACATGAATTCTTCGGAAGTAGTTTTATTTTGATGCATCGTGCACAATACGGAGCTAGATAATTTATTTTGGAGGTTAAATTTAGAAATTATATGAATATTTTTTTAATGGGAAAATTAAGTTTTAAAATTTTTATTAGTAAGTATTTTTAAGATGTATAATCAATTTTTTTTTAAAATATGTCAAAATCTTTCTAAAAGTGGTGTTACTTTTTTTTCCTTTTATATATATATTGGCGAGGGGTAAAAAGGAATTTTAAAAACTTTTTGGGTGTAAATTGACACCCCTAAATATATATTGGCTCCACCAATGATGATGCACAATGTAATGCGACTATCCAATCTTAAACGTCATTTATATGGATATCGTTTTATTTTGTATGTTTGGTTGAAAGTCTCATATGGCCATATAGAAAATAGTTGAAGGTATTTCATTTCCATTAAAAACTTAACAACCATCTAATCTGGATGTTAACATGTTGAATGAGATATAATAAAATAATATTTTAATGATGTCTAGAGGCACTGTCGTTGCTTTCAAATACTAACTCGATAATATAATGTTTTAAGCACTGACTCGATGACATAATATAAACAAATACTTGATTCATAAAATATAACTCAAAATGGTATTAGGATCAACTTTTATCATATTTTAACAGAAAAATATGAATTCGAAACATATAAATAATCGGATAATCATCTTCTATTTTTTAATTATCAAGGGACTCTATAAAACGATGCTTTATGATTGGAGACCATTTTTATACTTTATCCTAAAATACTAATGTTTTGAGTGGTTACATTTTATTATGTTAAATTGAAAAATCCATGAGGTATAAATTTGTGGTCCCTCCCTTTATTATAGTAATAGATGGCAATGTATGGTCATGTGAAATTTATTAATGGTCTTAGTAATTAAAAAAAAATATTTTTTTTATAAAAATTTTAAATTCAAATAATTACATTTACAAATATATTTACGTTGTTAAGTAAAAAAAACCTTAACAGATATTATAATACGTACTATTTTATATAGAGAGAGAGAGATGTAATGCTGAAATATTTTATAATATTATAATAAATGAATGTGCGGTAGCGGGTTTGTGATTCATGACATGGATGACTAGATTCGCACTTTACGACATTATTTAAGGATACTACTACTTTATGTTTTTGTATTACAAACGCATGGCTTATTCAGGTTCCACACAATTTCTAATTAGAGATTAACTCTACTGAACACATTAATATATAATGATTATTTATTATATTTTTAATAAAAATATTTTTATAATTATTTTGTTCATAATAATAGATTTTTATTGATTTAATTTTGTTAACGGATAAAGTGAATAATTACGGTAGATGGTGGTACGATGGTGATTCCAACAGCGTTGGTCTGAATTTTTTTGTGAAGAAGTGTGTACGTCCTTTTACTCTCAATTGCATGACTATTCATAATGATTCGAATAGGTGTTGATAGAGAATTGTTGTGACGTTGGTATTGATTGAGCATCTTACGAAGTGATGGTTTAGACTAATTTGTCATCAAATGAAATCATTTGTACCAACATGTGATCGGTTGTGATCACAAATAGTATATGTTCACGGGTCGTAGATGATCAATACGTGATCACTTGTACGAAGTAAAGGTTCGCATAGCAGAATTTAGTAAGTAATAACACTTTGTAGGTGATTGACACATAATCATGGTGGTTGCTCGCAGGATACACTCCGTATGTCTGAAGATTCGCATGGTGACAATTCACAGGTAGTAACAAGTTTTGAAAATTTTAAAATTATTTTTAATCCTTAATTTATTATTGATAAGCTATTTTTTCGCTACGGTTCATCTCTTGATTTTTATAACGAAAATGGATTAGAATTTAGAATTGTTTAAATATTAATGTATCATTATCATTGTTGTTTTCAAAACTGAGACCTAAATCTTATCTTGTTTGGTGCGTCCCAGGCGCATCCTCTTTTGTCTAGCCATCTCACACACTTTAGACCTTCAAACTACTCCATCCTTCCCTCAACTCACGTACCCGAAGGAAATCGAGACAAGAATAATGCAACAGAAAATTTAAATAACCTCTATCAATCCTAGGATCTCTTCTATATTATACTAATTACGGTAAAATAAAATTGTGAGATTACCTTAATCTATAGTTTGAGAATCTTGTCTCTGATTTTCTTTCGATCTTTAAAGGTGTTGTCTTTCTAAAAGACGACTACCCTCTATACATATCCATACGTGAATGAATCAAGAATGGTTAAAATAATGTTAGTTCCTTTTTTGGAAAATATGTTTTGTGGTTTTTGGATATTTGACACTTGAAAAAAGATTAATTATTTACCCTAGCATATATGATATATCACACACACATATATATGTGTGACTTAAAATAGGGTTAAAATCAATCATTCATTTTTTAATCATACTTAATTTAAAACTCTTTTAAATAAAAACATAATTATTATTTATCTAAAATGCTTTTAAATAAATAATAATATAAAGCAAATCTCTTATCTGATAAGGAATTCAAATTCATCCAAACCCTAATAAAGTATTATTTCATTATATTATTTATTTAATATTATTTATAAATCAAATAAAGAAATAATAATGAACAAAAATATTATATCAAAAGAATATGAAATTAACTTATTTAAATTTTCATAATAAATAATCTTTTAGAATGTAATTTAAAATAATTTCATTATCTTAAATTATCATTTATAGTAATAACAACAACCATTCTTATCAATTCTTAGTGTGCAACTCTATAGGTTCAATTAACGTTTACAATAGATAAAATCGTATTTAATTATACAAGTCATAAGTGGCCTTTAGCGAGACATTATAACTACCCATTTTAAATGAAAAGCTCCAGATCCGAGACAACCTTAATGCAGTTTATGTCATAATTTTTTTATCTCATGATATCTTCATAGAATATAAGGCATGTAAAATGTCAACCTTATATCACTCTCACTTTATCGTCGATTTCTCATATTCAATTGAACTGACAAAACAAATGAAATTGATCTCTATCAAATTATTTTAGCAAAACCATGTATTTCTTAATCACAATTATCGAGGGGCCCTGAGATATCCCTCTTATGATAAGAGGGATAAATTCCAGCTTAATCACTCACATCTCACTACATGATTCATGTCATGTTCAGGCATAACCTTTATAATTGTTTTATTAAAGACAATGTTTGATTATGTCAAAACATAACAATCATCATGTTGAGAACTCTAGTAACTTCAGGTCTAAGGATTTAATGGCATAATTGTTTGAAATTAATATATAACTTTAATCCATGTCTTAATCTCGAAACGAGTCATTCTAATATTTATTCTCAACAAATACATATGAATTTGGTTTGAATCTCATTCACATATTCATCTCATGAATATCTATCAAAATTTGTACCAATCTTATTTTAATATTGTTCCAACAATAATAATCGACTAGAGATATTTAGAATAATCAACAATATTATTCAAGGATATTAACAATAAAATTGTACGCAAATGATAATAATAAAACAAATAATAAAA